GGGGGGGTAAATCGTGTGAATCGAGCAGCGGCAAGGACAAAACGCGACTTGTTGAATGTGCCTCGCTGCTGCCAAATGGAGGCTGCAATCCGAACGCCGCCGCTGCTAATGACGCGAATGCTCCTAATCAATCGCAGGCATGCACGCTCAATCCGCGGACACGGCTAATACTCACTTGGCTCGTGCAGGTTGCGTGCGCCAAACCCGGAGAGAGAGAGAGGGGGGGGGCGAAAATAAAGGATCAATCACCGCGTAGTTTTCTTTGTTGGCGGAGGATTTCACAGTATCCAGTTGCTCGCACGACGTCAGATCAATCTTTTTGGTGGGGGGTAGGGGCGGGGATTTTTTTCCCCCCCAATTTTTGGAGAGGGTGTCCCAGTGAATGGAGAAAAGCAGGTTGGTTACTTAGATGGAAATGAAGCGAGAGGTGGGGGGGCACCCTGAGAGCTGCCTCTCTCGTCTATTTGGAGTATTTTGGTGTTCGCACCTTCGTCGGCAGCCAGCATCTGTCTGTCCGTCTTCTTGGCCAATGTTTCAATGGAGATGCAGCCGGGCTCCGTTTGCCTTGCGCCTCTCCGTGTGTTCCTTTGGAGGAGCGTCACCTCCCGCACGAGTTCCCCTCCCTCAGACGACACATGTGGGCGGATTAGAGCCAAGACGGAAAGGGTGGCGGCGGCGGCGGCTGCGCGCGCTCAGATGCTCAACTTCGGCAAATGACGCCAATTGAGCCCGAAATGAAATTGGGGGGGACGAGAGCGCCGCGTAGGGGTTGCGCCGATGGATTGCCATGTGTTCGGTCGCTGCTTTCTTTCTCTTGCTCCCTTGGACGGATGCACAAGCGCAAAGGCAAACACCATTTTGTCGAGCGGCAGCCACGCTCGTACGGCACGCAGCAAAAAGCGACATCCACTGGGCTCTTCAAATACTCCCATTGCCTCGAGCAATTCTCTTTTATTTAGGGGAGGGGGGAGCTAATAAATGCAGGTACAGTATTACATTTAGACAATTGCTCCCAACCACTGGTGCATATGCTTCGCGAGCTTCCTAATAACTGCCTTCAACATTATTTCGCCACATGAAAAAAAAGGGGAGGTGGGGGGCGAACTATGACAAACATTCACTGACATCGAAATGACATTTTACACACACACACACACACACACACCTCCAAGAAGATGACTTTTCAGGAGATGCCAAAAACGGCATATTTGTTCAAGCATGAACAGCGCATCATCAAAGAGCACAAGCCATTTATTTATTTCACCTTTGGTCAATCATTTGCACAAATGCCGCCTCCACAATGACGAATCCTACAGTGACATCGGAAGCTTCGGGCCTCACAGCAGCAATACTAAATGAGAGCCAGCTTGTGAGGAGTCCAACGGGTCAGCGGGGCCGCTAATGCACTTCTTGACAGGACACTCCAAGAGTGAGCGCTTCATATCATCTCATGAAAATTACAGTAGTTGTAAAAGGACAAAAAGGCTAGCGAGCGCTTGCGTGCGCGGCCGCAAGTGCACACGGAGCAAAGATGAGCCAGGGAAACGCAACCAGCCAGAGGAGTTGTGTGGCAACGATGGGGGCCGAGCAGCTTGCGTTATTGTTCAATGAGGCTTCAGCAGCTCGCTTGTACTTGTCGAGTCTACAGAGGAAGCTCATTAGGGAAGGGAACGGGGAGGGGTGCAAAAACAGTTTGCCGTAGTTCAGCGAGTGCACAAACGGAAAACGGAACAGGTCAAATGAGGTCGGCTGCTTCACTTCAACAAGTGAGAACACCTTTCCATTTCAACACATGAAATCTGTGGGTCGGGGGGGGGCATATTGTCCTAAATGGCTAAAATTAAGTGCCATTAAGACGGCGGAGGACTACTATGAGCGGCACTCAGCATGACTTGTGGTTTTCTTCAGCGGTCGTAAGGCACCGGCGGCGCAAGGGAACTTGACAGGCTGGTGTTTAAACAGCTGCACGGGGACTTTTTATGGCCGGGAGCGTTCACAGGAGGGATGCTGCTCATCGGCACTGACGCGAGGCAACACCGGCGCTCAGCGCTGCTCAATTATCTCCAGAACGTGCTTGAAATGAAAGGAGACCAACACAAAACACGGCCATTGGAAGACGTACGGCCGTGCCAATTCATTCAATCGTGAACATGTCATTCATTTGTTCCATGGCTCCAAAACTATGTTTCATCAATTCAAAGAAACGTCCACTCCATTCATGTTGAAAATAAAAACGGAGCAATCCCGACTTCAATACGAGCCTTCATTCCAGGAGCAGCGGAATCCAGACAAACATGGAGACAGTTCCAACTCCTCAGTAAGCTTCAGTAACGCGAGGCTCTTTTCAAAGACTAAAGAATGAATTTCAAAAGTGGAGCCCTGTGGATTCACCTTTTTTTTTCAAAGCTTTCGTTGCCCCCCGCCCCAACGGTTCGGTTGCGTCGTCATCTTCTCAAGCAAGCGGCAACACTTGGGAAGGAAATGAAGACAAACGGCCGGACGTCTTCCATCGCTGGCCTCTTCTTCTTTGAGCTGGAGAGTGAAGGGGTGGCCTGTCCTTTTTTTTCTCTTCTTGTTTTGAGGAAAATGAAGGCTTTGAGAACGGCTGCTTGAACGGGTTGGGGCAGAAAATCACTTGTGAGGGGACTGCGATGCGTGTTTCCAATTTTATTCCAAACGGGACAGCGACTGTACAATTCCAAAGGCAAGGCAGCAATGCAAATCAAGCGCTTTTTGGAAGAAAAGGCTTTTGCAGAACCACGGCGGTCAACGGACAAAATGCATCTTTCTGTGCTCACTTGTGTTCCCGAGCTGCAACTCAAGTGAGTTGCTTCGTTGGTGTTCTTTTTAACCTTCTTTGTTTGGGGGTCTTTCCCCTCATAAGCCCATCGGGAAAAACGTCCTCAGTCACAACTAGGTTTCAAGATCAAGCAACACAGACCATAGCGAGTCCTTTACACCTTAAGAAGACAAACCTGCGCCAGGCCGCGTTTTGCCGTTCTCGGGAGCCTTGGGCTTGCGCTTTTTGCGTCTCTCCGCTGCGCTCTTCTTGAAGTCGGCCTCCCACTGTTTCTTCACCAGCGTGTAAAGCCTCATGGCGGCCTGCGCGTCCTGGACCTGTAACATGGCAACAACGGACACCTTAGAGCGGGACTGTGCGCGGAGGGCCCGCGACAGCACGTCACTTCTGGAGGGACTGCGCGCCATGATGCATGGATAATAACGAAGCATGAGCTCCATTTTGAAGCTACCGTGGTCAATATGGAATTGGTAAAAAGCAGGAACTTGGAGCAATGTGGGACATTATTCCAAACAAAGTGAGGGGAATATTTGGACATCTGTAAAGAAATGGATTCAAACAGCCAAAGTTGGTGGAATGATGACCCAAAGTAAAAGAAGCAAAGGAAGGAAGGAAGAAAAAAAAAAGAAAAAGACAGAACAAACAAATGAACTTTGGTGCATCATATGACATGGGAGTGACTTTTGGCATTCAGCCCTTCCGGCCCCTTATTGTGCGGACGTTGACGACTCTATTTGGACATCTGTAAAGAAATGGATTCAAACAGTCAAAGTTGGTGGAATGATGACCCAAAGTAAAAGAAACAAAGGAAGGAAGGAAGGCGAGAAATAGAAAACACTCACCCAAACTGTGATCATCATCATCATCTCCAAAGTCTTCATCATCATCATCATCATCATCGTCCTCCTCCTCAATTGCTAACTTTCTGTCCGACAATGACGACAAGATCGCGTTTGACGTGGCACGGCACCTTGGTCGTCTTCATGAAAGGTTTATACTTCTGAGTGTCTCGGATTTTCTTTTTGGGGTGATCCAGGAGCAAGACCTGAGAGACATTACGAGGAGATGTCACCAGAGCACAGGAAAGCATTTGCTGGCAGATTTCGGAGCTATCCGGATACCTTGAAGTCGTTGTGTATCGCGTGGCCCACCACGATTCTCCCGTGCAGGATGTCAGCAACTTCCTTGCGCACGGTCGCGACATCCTCGCCTGGAATTGAGAGACAAATACTTTGACATTTACAATGGGGTTTTTTCAGGGGGCAGGGGGGAGGCACCTTTTGACCGAACGAGCAAAACTCGCGCGTGGCCTCACCCTCTGCGATGTCCGTCGGCCGGATGCCACTGACGGCCGTGCGGTAGTCGGTCACATGCTCGCTGGGCTTCACGTACTTGTCGTAGATGCACTTGCCAAAGTGGTTAACCAGGGACACGCGTGCCAAGATGCTGTCCTCCCCGTGGGGACCGACACCGACCATCTCGCAGTCGATGGCGACCACCCTGGTGAGGCTGAGGGCAAACCCAAATGAACGTCTTTTCCGGGCCCATGCGCTCATCAATACTGATGGATTCGAAAAATACTTGACAGTCGCAGCCCGGACAAACATCTCTCATCAGCAATGTATTCAATCATAGATGATGGTGCGAGTGTGTTTCACGGGCATGTTCTTGTCAAATGTTTGCAGTTTGGCAAACACGTGATGGTGCCTCTTTCCCCCACCTCGTGGCGAGCAGCGTGGACCAGAATAGCAAATCCAAACACTTTGGGTATCAAATAGACACCATACTCCCTCTGTTGAGTTTTTTTGTCTGAGATATTGAATCCTTGTGTCGAATATCTGCAGCATTTAAACACACATCTTTGCGGCCAAGGTCCCAAATTAGCGAATGACAGGATCTTGCGCTGGTCACTCACCCCTCGAAAGATTTCTCCTTGACCAACATGTTCGCCGTCGCGTTCTTGCAAACGCCCTGCCTCTTCCTCATGATCTCCGCCGCTTCTGCCCCCACCGTGGCCTCAATGTCATCGGGGTCCACGTCGTCGAACCAAATGTCCACTCTGCAATAGCACAAAACAATCACATCATGTTTGCATTTCGAGTACGACAAGCACACTGTTGGACACGCACTCTGTAGGTTTGGACTCTTTTGCCTCCACTTTCCGCTTCTTGGCCGCTTGCTTGCCGTTTGCTTTCAGCTGGCTTTTCCTTTCAGCCGCGGCGTGCTGCTTTGCGTCCGCCGCAACGGGTCTTTTAGCCTTGGGGTCAACGGTTCTGTGTTTGGCTTTTGGTCCTGAATCAGTCTTAGCTTTGGAGACACTGCTGTGATGTGCGTTTTGGGATGCTTTGTCTTTCCCTTCTTGTGAAGGGCCATTCGGTTCTTGCTGGGATGCCCTTGTCTTATTTGTCATCTGACTGGACTTGAAACTCTGTGGATGAGATGGTAGTGGTGAACATGACAGATGGAATGTTAACACTTTCGAATTGTTCTTTTTCATGCACACGGTAGTTTTCGTAAACAAACAAACAAAAAAACATTTATGGCATGTACTCAACAAGCCTTACCTCTTGTAATCCTTTCCAGTTGGCAGAAAAGTGTTCGCCATCGTTTGGAGGCATAATGAGGTTCTCTGTGGCGAGGCTATGAAGAAAGGCTCTCTTGAATAAATTCGATTGTATCCTATTTTTCTTTTTCACAGAATTGTATTTTCCAGCTTCGGAGGGGGTTCGCTTTTTTTCCTTCGGCTTCATCTTAGATATTGCGACAGCTTGAAGTTGAACACTGTCAACCAAATTCGGTGAGAAGTAAATTCTCATCCACGCGGCTACTGTCGTCTCGACGTCATGGATAAGACTTCTATGGCACGCTCATAAAATGCCTTCGCTCGTGCAGGATTGCCGAGTAAACGGGTCAAAAGCGAATAAATTGTTCAAACAAGCGTGTTATGTTCGTGGAGAAACGCTCACGTTACCTTGTTTGCTAATCCACGCGTTAAAACCACGGAGAAAGTGACTTCCGGTTAGTGTAACAGTCAAATGTGTTTGACAGAAACACAAATTTGAACTTTGCTTCGCCAAACACGCCTCCAACGGTGTGTGGCAGATAATAGCTACTCACGGGTGTTTTTAAAATACGTATTTGTATTTATTATGAGTTTGTGTGACCATAAAATTAGAACGTTTTGTATTTGTATTCAACATTTAAACGGGAAAGCTTTTCGCTTGATGTTTCCAGCCGTGTCGAGTATTACAGGCACAAAACTAGGCAAAAGCAATCGAATGACACTATTCCTGAAAACAAAATGACAAATATGTAAAAGAAGACAGGCCTTGTTTGGGGTTTTTTCACATTAGTAGGATTTAGTGTGAAAAAAAAATGTTTTTTTTTGCGTCGCCTTAAAGGATTCGTTCACTTGAGTGCGTCAAGTGTCACGTTCTGATCGATCGATATTGATGGTAATGTATCGTTTCTGACAAGCCGTGTCGAGGCCTCTTGAATTCAAATGTTTGTTGTTGTTGTTGTTGTTGTTGTTGTTTTTTTGTTAAACCCGTCGTATTACAATTACACGACATTTAGTTACTCCCGTTAGTGATCTTAATGTGTGTTTTAGATAATGGTGGAAAACACTCCCTCTCCTCTGCCTGAGAGGGCCATCTGTGGCTTTGTTTTATTCCTCGGCTCGCAGTTTGGCTTCTGTAAGTTGCTTCTATGTTACAGTGGAGCCGATCATCCAATTGTGTTGGTGATGTCTCTGTGTGTCATGACTTCTTTTTTTCTGAATTTCCCCCCAAAGTTTTATATTGTGTGTGGGCATACATACCAGAGGAGTGGCTTCATTCAGTCGGACTCACTTACTGGCCTCAAAAGTAAACAGCCATTCAGTCGTTTTAATGAAGTTTCTCCCTCGGGCTACATGAATTGATGTTCTTTTTTTTTTTTTGCAACTTGTATCACGTCTTGTAGATATTGGGCCCTTGCTGCGCCAATCTATCTGCTGGTGGCAATAACCGTCTCTGTGGTATTGCTATTTGGAATTAATATGTACAATACAGCTCCACTCGACTCTCTGGACAACATTACAGGTATGCACATTTGGAGAGTTTTTTTTTCTTTTATCACTATTAGTTAAAGAGTCAAATGACACCTTCTCTCTTTTCCCACGGGGTAATATTTCAGATGGGTTTGCGCAAAGCCAGATGAGTGAAGTCGCCAAGAAGGGTCAAATTCCAAGACTAAAGGATGTTCCCATCAGTGACGTCAACAAAATGTTCCACTTGTCAACAAAGCTGTAACTCACCATCTCTTTGGGGGTTGTTTTGTGTTTGTGACTCTAACTGAATACTGATCATTGGGGCATTGTTTGGTTCTGTGTCAGTGAACCGAACATGGATGTGTTTGGAATGTGGGAGGAGAAAATCCCAACAAGCACAACGGAATTTGAGAAATGACATTTAAATAATCGTATATGTGTTGAGTCTGTCATCCATTCTACAGATACATTTGATGATAACGTGACTGGTTACTGCTCAAAGTTCACCTGATTAAGTTGAGTAAGGATACAAATTACAATACAAATACATTTGTACTCACGACAAGTCAGTTTGTCCTTTTTTCAGCTCTTATTTTATGGGAGTGTTTAATAGCTGTACCTCTGCTAATTACAATGTGTGAGTAGGAAGAATAACAACAGTTATAATGAAATTGCCTTTACAAACGCTTCAGTTTTTTAAAACTTTTACGTACCGTAGTAACGTGGTTAAATCGGCGCTTATTGTTTTAGTATCCGGCCTTCCGCTTCCTCGCGAACGGTGCTTTTGGCACCTCTGTTCAGACTCCATCCGCGGGGCGGCGATATCGAGCAGTTATAGTCGCCGACGAAGAAGAATGTAAACACCGCTGCCATTCGGAACTTGCAGCTCCCGTAAACATCACGGAACTGACAGATACTAGGAGCTTCCCGATGTGGCTTTGGAGTTTGTTTTGGGCGTTCTGATCGCGGCGAAGAGATGTCGGACCCTCTGCCGGTGTGGTTCGCGGTGCAGGCGGAGCTGCTGGGCCACGAGGAGGAGCTGGACTCGCAGTCTCGGAGCTGTTTCGACTGTTACGACGACGCCACTTTGTTCGAGTTGTTCCACCTCACGCGCGCTTGCGTGGAGTTCGTGGCCGACATCGTGCGCGGCCGCATGAAGAAATTCCTGCTCACCTCGTTGTCCTTGGACGCGATGATCATGACGACGCTCAACTTTTACGCGCGCGGCTCCCATTCCGCCGCCCTGAAGAAGCGCTTCGACCTCAAGACGGACTGCGACGACGTCGTGTTCACCGTGTCCGAGGTGGTGGCCGCCATGTCCGATCAGTTCATCTCCTTCCCGCAGACGCGCAAAGCCAAAATCGACATGGCCCACATGGTGGAGGACTTCTGCGGCATCCCGGACGTGCTGGGCTTGCTGGCCCCGGCTCACTTCAAGATCACCCAAGGACCGCTCGACTTGCACTTCAACTCGCTGGGCTACGCGTCCGTGGTGTGCCAGATGATTTGCGACCTGGACGGAAACATCCTGAGCGTGGAGCAGTGTTGCGCCGGCGGCACGCGCGAGCAAGATTTGTGGGGCACGTCCATTAGAGGACGAGAGATCGAGGAAGAACTCTATGGACAATACTGGGTCATAGGTAAGGTTGCTGAATGTGTGCTCCCCGGGTTGACCCCTTAAAAAACACACACACACACTGTACCATACATTGATGCTACCCAACATCAGTATATTGTTATTCTCTGCGCCGATTGTCAAGCAAGGCCCTGAATCGTTCATCGTCTTTTGTCCTCAGATGCCCAATAGTTTGCCATTATTTCTTGACAGGAGGGGACGGCTACGACTTAAGCAAACGCGTCCTGACCCCCGTGCCTGAACCTCAAGACGAGGCGCAGAGGAACTTCAACGCGGCCCACGCCAAGATCCACGCCGCGGCCCAGAGCACGCTGCGCTCCCTGAAATGGCGTTTCAGGTGCTTGACGCAACTTGGCTTCGAGCAGCACAAGTTGACCAACATCATCAAGGCTTGCTGCGTCTTGCACAACATAGCCAAGAAGTTCTCGGTCCCCCTGCCATTGGGAGAGGACCAATTTGAGGACCCCCAGCCGAGGAACCCGCGCAGTGATTCGGCCGGGATTTGCCCAGATGTCCTGAGAGCTCGACAGGAACTCATCGATTATCACTTCTCCGTGATAGCTTGTCAAGAGGAACTAGAATGACGACGCCGCATTTAAAGAAAAAATTTTTTTGCCCCCCCCAATGCGGGAAGTAGGACATTCCAATATTCTTGTGACGCCAGAAGGATTTCTGGCGCATCTTACGCCAGGCAATTCATTAGGTCCACCAAGATCCAGTACCGGAATCGATTTATTTTCTCTTTGTAAAAATGAATTTCTTGTCTTGGATCTCAGCTTGAGGTGAGACAGTTTAATGCTGATATATCTTCTCCCCAAGTGGAAAAATGTTTCCAAAGCTCATGTCATTGTCAATAGAAGATTTGGAAACGTTCTTTGGTGTGTCATTTCACAACCAAGTGCCATCCTGTTTCAGATTGCCGTTTTGTGAAACTCTCGCAGCGCCGTCGCGTTGGCATAAATGACATCCAGGTTCTGGGAAATGTTTTCATCGCTCTCCCCTCGAGACTGCAGACAGTCCATGATGCACCGGTGCAGGAAAACATACTGGGACTGCAAAGAGAGGAGACTGAGAATCCACTGGAAACAAGCGGTCGCCCACATTTTTGCACCATGGATTGGTTGAACATGAAGTTTGGGAAAGCTGCGGCCGAGGACCGTCCACCGTCCTTACCTCGGTCTGCACCATGTGCGGCCGCCGCAGTCTCATGTTGTGTACGAAGGCGTTGATGCCAACTTCCTTGTCTCTGTACAGCTGCTGAAGCAGAACATCCAAGGCAATAATGGTGCCAGTCCTGCCAACGCCTGCGCTAAAAAGACAAATACTGGATGTGTCATCTCGTTGACACCGCATCCGCCTCCACCCCACCCTTGTGTGTTCTACATACATGGCCAATAAAGATGATTCCGATTCAAGTCACATTTTTGTGTGCCTGTTCCAGCTGTATTATGATTTATTGATTTTTGTCCCCACGTCATGTCTCTTTTTTTTTTTTTGACAAGCATCTTACCTGCAGTGAACCACAGTCGGAGCTCTGGTCCTGTTGGCTTCTATGTGCTGCCGAACGAGCCCCCTGAACCGGATCAGGACGTCCGTACACTGAGGGACTCCGTGGTCGGGCCAGGCAGTGAAGTGGAAATGTTTCACCGTCCTCTCGCCGGTGCCGTCTTTCTATCAAACGTCAAAATCAGAGGCTACGGAGCGGATTGGAATGGGAAAAGCAAACTGGAGCTGGAAGCGCACAGCCATCGATGACCACATTCGGCAAAAATGATCTCGTGCGTCGCTATCACGACCGCTATTTCAGTTCAGTGGGCATTATGCACACATTTGAGAGCCCGGCATAAAGTATCGTGTACATGTTTGACTCGGAATTCCCTTAACGTCCAGTCGGTGTGTTGCTGTTCCGAGGCGGTGGTGATGGTCAGCCCTCTCTGGAGACAAGTCTCTCCCTGCGCGGGCCAGTAATGTTCGCATTTAGTCTGCAAAAACGTGCATTCGGCACAGTCGGGAATGAGGTTGTGAAAAAGGCTCACCTGCGTGACCATTTTTGCCTGACGGAACCTACCCATCTTCCTTCGGTGCAGTTGGTTACCATCACAATGGCGGTGACTCTCAGCTCCCAGATCATTCTCCAGAAGTCGCTGACCGTGGAGGGCAGAGGACCCTGAGCGGCGATGTACTCTCGGCTCTTGCTGTAACCCTGTCAGGTATATCAGACCATTGTGCAGATGTTCTTTGCGCTAGAGCACATTTCAACCCCCGAACCTGTTTCCACATGTGCAAGTCTTCCAGTCATTTTGTTACGCGTCTTCAATTCGGGTGGTGGCTGCGTGCTGAGGTTTTTCGGCAAGACTTACCGGCATGTAAGAGGCGTTGATGTAGTCCGAGTTCCCGTTTGTAGTCTGGAGCTTGACTCGGCTCCAGTCATCTGGCCCAGTGAGAAAGAAAGACGTGTAAAGGCAGGCCCATAGAGGGAAGCTTTTGCTCAGCGGCGGTCACGCAACTTACACGGCAGGACGTTGGTGAAGCGATTTTTCTCCATGTTTTCAGGCACCAGAGCGGCATTCTGAGTGTGCCCGATGCCGACAACAGCGAGGCCCTGCATGAGAAGTTCGGACGCTTACACTCGAGATACGCATTCGGGGTGGGCGGAATACTCGGTTGTCAATTGTCAGCACCTCGTATTCCTCGCTGAAACCTCTGTTCTTATCCATACTCAATGTGGAGAAGTGGCCAGGGAAATCTGCAAGAGAAACATCTCTGGAAGCAGAGCAGAACAAGCATTTCACCCGACTGTTTCCAAGACAGGAGTAAACCGATCCCATGCATCGGTGCTTAGTGCCTTGCGCTGATCGCAACAAATGCCGCCTCACCCTTTGGGCTTTGAGCGGTAATATCAGAGCAATGTCAGAGGGCGGGGGACGGGGGGCTTTGAGGTGATGTCATGACATCATTGCTTTTCCGTCCATGAGCTCACGTTTGATGATGAGGGGAAATCCTCACCTCTTAATCAACGGGTGTCTTTTGAATCGAGAAGCCATAAAAACATGGAAAGCAAAATGTGCCACAATGACATTTCTGTTTAGTTTGACAGTAAACTGAAAGATGGCTTTTGAAAAACTTGGGGCTCACTGGTTTCCCAAGGCAGCGCTGTCCACGAAAATGTCTCTTAGCCTGGCAAGAACATGCTCAAACCTTTGCTCCCAATCTCAGAAGAAGAATTTGGAAGATATTTGGCTGGTTTGCAGTTTTAGGGGGGGAAAACAAATGCTTACTTGGATTTTGTAGTTGCAACTGTGCTGCCTCCAACTAATGACCTTTTCTTCCTTAAAACTATTTCATCAATCGCTTGATTTGGGGGAAAAAATTGCATGCACTGGATAGTTTGAACGATTTTACAAATGTTTGCTGTCTAATTCGGTGCAGTGAACCAGTTAACCATTTATTCGATCGGATAAACGAGTGACAATACTCAACACAAAGTTTCAGAAGGTCACGCAACGGATTGCAATGAGCCCTCACTACGACAGGCGGCGGTAGAGATCGACGCACGAGAGCCCCAAGCTAACCAGCCAATGCTAGTTGCGGAAGGCTAACTAGTTCTTTCCTCCCCCCCTTCTTTTGCTCTTTTTTCAAAGAAGGGGCAGTCACACGGCGGACGCGACGCACGGAACAACCCCAAGCTAAAAGAATTGAGGAGTAAGTGTGGAAAAACTATCGCAAGTTTTTAGTGAGCGCGCTTAGCCTTTTCGCTCCTCTTATCTATTGACCTTAACATAAGCGCGTCATCTGATGCACATTGTCTATGTTTGAAATGTGTTTAGGAAATGCAGTCGGTGGTCCGGCAAAACCTCCACGCCGAGTGTGAAGGCGACATCAACAAACTCATCAACCTCAAGCTCAATGCGTCCTACACTTATCTTTCTTTGGTAACTTTGCCATTGCACTGACGGTTTGCCTTTGGAAACATCGAGAGATGTGCGGCTTTTTGGCTGAAATTTGAAAAAAAATGCGTGACAACCTTTGACAGGTGAACTTTGACCTTTTCAGTGCGCGTGTTCTGTTGTTCAAAGACTCTGTGCTTCTTGCCCAACTTGCTGTTCAAAAAACAAGAAGCTGAACGGCCAAAATAGACAACGTGGGAAATTTCTATGCCGCAAATCAATTTAAGTTCACTTGAAAAGGTTCACATGCGCTTCAGGTTATTCCCAAACCTTTTTTCAAAAACAATATTAATCATTAAATTTGGAGGCAGGGGGGAGTAGTGTCGTACTGACTAACCTGAACTTAGATCACGAACCACTCCTGTTATTATTATGATTGATTTATTACATTGAGACAGTGCACATTCTTCAAGACAAGAATAAAGGGTTAATAAACATGTTGTCTCCTACAGGGCATGTACTTTGACAGGGATGATGTTGCCCTGAAGAAATTTTCCAGTTTTTTCTTGGAGCTCTCTCAAAAGGAACAAGAACACGCGGAGAAGCTGCTCGAGTACCAGAACATGCGAGGGGGTCGCATTTTGCTGCAGACTATCGCTGTAAGTTTGCATTTTGTCGTGATGTAGCCCAGTGACGTTTATGCAAGCGTGACATGCTGCAGAAACCAACTCGGGAGGATTGGAGAGGTGGCTTGGATGCAATGTCTTTCTCGCTGGACTACCAGAAGGCAATGAACACTTGTATTCTGGACGTACACCGCCAGGCTGACACCCATAATGACCCCAATGTAAGTATGAAAGAAATGAAGCAAAGCGGACTCGAAATTCAGTTTGAAATGCGCGTCTGACAGCGCACTCTCTTTGGCCCGATTTTCTGTTTGTTGGTAGTTTTGCGACTTCCTCGAGCAGAATTTCCTCAACGACAGCCACGACACCATCAAGAAGTTGGGCGACCACGTGGGCAGCCTGAAACGCATCGCGGCACCGGAAAGCAACGGCTCCATGGGAGAATACCTCTTTGACAAGCACACCTTGTAAAGACCTCGCTCGTCAAAGCGGCACCGTCTCCTGCATTCGTTCTGTCAAGAAAGCGCAACCATGTTGTCCTGGTTGAAGGCAATCTAGCATACTGCGGGAGCCGAGTCTTCAAGAATACCTCACACTAGCTCTGGTGCTCACAAGTAGCGTTTTCCTGTTCTCACGTTTTCTACATTCCTACGAGTCAAGACATTGAATAAAGCACACTTGATGCCAGCACCTCCGTTTCTGTTCTGATGTCATATTTACAATTGTGCGACAGAGGAAAGAGAATGAGCGAGACTTTGCTTCGTCACCATCGAGTGGCCGCTTCGAGTTGGACGTTGGGCCGACAGCTCTGCAAATTCTCCAAAACCACGTGTTTCAGCAAAGATAAGGGCGGATAAAGGCTTCGCGGCCGCACCTTGTAATCTTGTCATGCAAGGGGCCCCGGCACCCTGAATAATGCACATACGTCTTCCACTTAAGAAGCGGGCAAATGTCAGAAACACTCCCCGCGCCCCTCACATATCATACATTTAAAGACTGATGTATTTAAAAACACACATATATAGACATATACATACTGTATATATCCTCGTCCAAGCAGCCGTTTACCTCAAGCCAATGTGGCGCCCCCTTCCGTCGGCGACTTCCATTACACTTCCACCAGAAATGGTCTGCCACCGTTTGTTTTCCTGTTGCCTCTTGGCGACCAATCTAAAACAGAAAAATAACATTGTGACGTCATTTCAAATACAAAAATGCCAAAGCTAATTGATTGATGCCGTCTCCCGTGCTTGCATAACATGCAACCTCTACTCTATCTGCAGCCAGGTCGGCATCGCAAATCAAGGTGACCGAAGAAATATGCAACTTCATTGGCGCCACTTTGAAATGTTGAGGAGCAGACGCAAAGAAAAGGTTACACTGCACTTTAATACGGCCCTCCGCTACTAGAGGAGGCCCAACTGAGGTGTCCAGATGTGGCAGGTGCCAGTGGATTACATCCCACACTTGTTAAAATGTGCAGCTGCATGGGACGCTCTGAATGAAAACTTGTTGCTGGATTGGAGCGAGACCGCTTGCAAAGCGTCGCTGAGGAGATTAGCGGAGGCTTGGGTGCACTACGAGTGGTCAGTCTAATGGATAAACGCCACGCCGGGGGCATTTGATGGAACTTTTCCACCTCGGCCAGGAAAACAAAACGCACATTGTTCAGCATGGGTGATGTCATTCGCGTGCAAAAAGCAGAGACTTCTCTCGTGTGTGTTCACATGCGGCTGAACAGAAAGCAACAGATGTGTGGTCAGCGTATTAATATGACAAGGAGGGGGAAGTGGTGATGGCGACGGGAGGGGGGGAGATTAAGTCCCAATGTTGCTCTAGTGATTTGCCAGGGCTTTAGCTTTGATGGAAACGGGCACAGGGAGTCTGCCAGTCGTGTCGAGGGAATGATGGGCATCTGACGGCTTTCGGGTGCAAAAAAAAAAGTGGCTCGCAAACTTGTGACAACAGGGGAATAAAGCAAGGATCCTAGCTGCAAGGTAAGATTGATTGACTTTTGTTGAGATGGAGTTCATCCCCAAAACGGCAAAGAAAGAGTGGCTTCCGCATGACGTAAAGAAACACTTTGAAAATGGCTTGCATACGTTAAATACAACTGAACCGCACCGGTGGTTGATGGTTGCAAGGATGCTCGCTTTGCTTGTCAGGGACATGTTGACTAGTGATGTCACATCCCTCCAAAAAGCCATCCTACCACTTGCCTCATCGGTTTACATGATTTGTCAAATTGTGCCGCGGGAGCATCCAAATTCCTCGTTTCTCTCGATTGTTGGCGATCAAAGGGGGTGAGAGCGGACGCATGAAAAACTGACCAATGGAACTCGGTGAGGCAATCTGGCCAACTGCATCCAGCGGTGAACTGACTGGCCGTCAAAATCGAGCAGGAGAGAAGCCTCTTAGGCGCCTTGTGGTGGAATGATGGAGGAAGCCATTTCATCTTAAGCTTTCAGGGGTCCGCCGTCCGGATTCATTTTGTCCAGTTAGCGGAATTCCAAAGATACCTGCGTGCAGAGGGTGCGCAAAAGCAGAGAGTGGGGGGGAAGTGAGTGTGTGGATTGGTTGGTAGCAAACAGAGGGATTAGGGTCAGCCATGTCGAGCTTCGAGCTTAGAGATGTTCTCTGCTCCTCCGCTGCGGTGCAACAAGCGGATGCGAGGGATTACAGCGGCAGCGCACGTACGCGGGCCGCAGCTGTGCCGTATACTTTCTGTATTTTGGCAGCTGACATGCGGCCGGTCAGGAGCGGTGGCGGCTTTCGGGTCCGAAGGGCCGCCGAGCTGCCCCATAAGGAGTCCGAGGAGGAAGTCCACCACCAGCACCCCCCCGCGGAAGACCACGGCCGCTCCGAGCATCACGACTACAACCGCGTGAAGGACAAGTTCATGAACGAGCTTGACCGGCTACCTGGTGAGTGAGCATCTCCCGAAGTCGCTGCTCTCAGTTTGTCAAAATAAAAAAAGCACATGAACCGGGGGACCCCAAATGTATTTCTTTTTGAATCATACGGCAGTTCCCATGTGGGCGGTGGGCGCCATTGTGGTGGTGATTTTGCTGTTGGTGGCGTGCTTCGTCTTTTGCCTTTTCAAAAAATGCTTGGGGAAGAAGAAAAAGCCAATGAAAGTGAGAGAGAGGAAGACGGGGCGGCGCAGGAAGGCCAAGGAAGGCGAAGGCGAGACGGGAGACAAGGTACGAGAGCGTGCGCTCGACTTTGACGAGTCCTTTGGTTTTTCATTCAACCGGCAATTATCCCGTTGAGATTGACAACAGAGAGTCGACGGCCTGAAGAAAAGAGCTGATACTTTGCGGTAAATAAGAGTCTGGACGGCGACTCACTGCGATGATGATGATGATGTCCTGGTAGGAAGGGGAGGTGAAGAAGGAAGGCGAGGAAGCGGAGAAAGAGCAGGAGAAGTTGGGGAAATTGGAGTTCTCTCTGGATTACAACTTCACAGATTCCCAGGTGGCTCCCCTGCGACACAAACCAGTACGAGTCAAACGGAACACGTCCCTCACCTGCTGATTGTTCTCCTTCCCGTGAAGCTCATCGTGGGAATCCTTCAAGCTCAGGATCTGGCTGCGATGGACATGGGAGGCACCTCGGACCCTTACGTCAAAGTCTTCCTGCTGCCTGACAAAAAGAAGAAGTACGAAACCAAGGTTCAGCGCAAGAATTTGTGTCCGGTTTTCAACGAGACTTTCTTCTTCAAGGTGCACAGACCGGGTGGGATTCATTTGGTGGTGGGGGTGGGGGGGGTTGCCCTTCTTGTCCCCGGTGATGATCATTCGGTTCTCTCTAGATCCCCTACGCGGAGTTGGGCGGAAAGACGTTGGTGCTTCAGGTCTTCGATTTCGATCGTTTCTCCAAGCACGACATGATCGGCGATATCAAGATCCCGATGAACAGCGTCGATTTGGGTCAACCCATCCAACAGTGGAGGGACTTGGAGAGCGTGGAGAAGGAAGAGGTACGTTCTCATGTCATTCCGCAGGCCTTCGTCCTCATTCTGGCAACCCTCGTTTTCACACGGGCTTCTCTCGGCAGGAGAAACTGGGCGATGTCTGCATCTCTCTGAGATACGTGCCCACTGCTGGGAAACTGACGGTGAACATCATGGAGGCAAAGAATTTGAAGAAAATGGATGTCGGCGGCTTATCGGGTAACGCGTGCCGTACTCGCGCAAGGGACTCCCGCCGTTGAAAGAGGGCAAGGCTCCCTCTCGTGATCATTTGCCGCTCTCGCTACAGGGAAGACCACAAGATGGGGACAGTCCAAAACTGTGCGCAATTGTCAGAAAACGGAAAAAAAAAAAAAAAAATCGCAGCCGAAATTAATGCCAACCTCTCTGTACTTACGCCCACTTTAACCTCTGAAATGATTGGAACGACTGCACCGCTAATTTCAATTTGAACCGTGGGGCGGTTTTGTCTTTGACACTTAGCGAGCGACCACGGAGAAAGAGACATTTAACCTCCAGCAAAATACACAAAATGTCCAAAACGGTCCCCTTTTTTTTTCAGCGTGGTGTTTGGAACGCATACTGAGAAAAAAAGGCACAATTTCATTTTTCCAGTTTCCGTTGGGGTTTCAAAAACGAAAGATGCCCTTCTCAAAACCTTGCATTGACTTTGGTGAAACTGTCTGGAACAGGGAAGACGCAGCGGATGAATTGACTGTTGACGTCTGGCTCCGTTCTTCCTTTTCAAGATCCCTACGTGAAGATCGTCCTCCAGCAAAACGGAAAACGTATCAAGAAGAAGAAGACGACGGTCAAGAAAAACACGCTCAATCCTTACTTCAACGAGAGTTTCAGCTTCGAAGTCCCCTTTGAACAGATACAGGTCAGCTTCCACCATCCCGGCATAAAGGGAATCCACGTAGCCTGAGCCATGACAAGAGAGGTAGAGCGGGTGCACAAAGCGCTAACTCGTGGCCAAGAAATGGGTCAAACGTACACGCAAATTTGCAATCGAACTTAATTGCCGCAAAGGATGTTTTATGGGGGTCTAAGAGGATGGAACAAATAAATGGGACCGTTTGTCTTTCCCGATTCAGAAAGTGCAGGTGGTGATCACAGTGTACGACTACGATAAACTGGGCAGCAATGACCCCATCGGAAAGACCTTCATGGGTTACGGAGCGACCGGCGTGGGCCTGCGCCACTGGTCGGACATGCTGGCCAATCCCAGACGTCCGGTAGCCCAGTGGCACACGCTGTTGCCCGAGGAGGAAGTCGATGCGGCGGTCAAAGCCAAACCTCGCTGAAGACAACGTGCTGGGTTGTGGGCTGTGGTGGGTTTTTTGTTTTCCCTTTGATGTGTGTCTCTTCCCTATTATTTTTGCATGTTTTCACTGCAAAAAACAAAATTGAATCAACATCAAATGCTCTGTTGATATGATTTTATTTTGATGCATTTGCTGGCTGTGCTGTTTTCCATGCGTCATGTTTCCTTTGGTATACTTTGAACAAGCGTAGATGTCAAATACAGATTAAAAAAAAAAGACATTTATCAGACCATCTCTTTTTTTTACCCTTGTATGTCACTCAAGTAACAAGCGTAGATGTCAAATACAGATTAAAAAAAAAGACATTTATCAGATCTTCTCTTTTTTTTACCCTTGTATGTCACTCAAGCTAAAACAAATGTCATGTGCTGTGTATATGCTCTGTGTGCAACTCTATAAATTTGAATAGCGTGGAGAGTGTTCTTTATTGCCATGATTCAAACAGTGAAACGCGTATACAGACCTGTTTTTATAATTTCTTGTTTTATATATCTTTTTGAACAACCTAGATAATGTCGAGCTACTTTGCAGCAAATATAAACCAATATTTCAACAGAAAAAAATACTTTGTGGACACCGTTCCCGATTTAAAGGTGAAAACGTGACGCAAAACAGACTTGGAAACATTTGACGTCTTAGTGCGCATGTGTACAAAACAGTCATCGTTGCCTAGCAACAAAAGCACAACTCAAGTTGCGCTAGCTTGTAGGCTAACTTGTGCCTTAAAACTCGCTCCACGACACTCACGGTTGGTTGTTTGTTTGGCGAGGAGCTTCTGCTCTCACCGAGCCTCCACCGAAGTCCTCCCGGGACACGATGAGCGCCGGACGGCCGTCAGAAGGCGCGGGCTGCGTCAACTGGTGGGGTTTCAGCCCAGCTCGAGACCTCATCAGTGCAGGTGAGCACAATTGCACGATTGCCAGCAACGGCTTTGAAAACTTTCCGACGTTCATACGTTACCCAGTTTTATTTTTTTCCCCTCCTCTCGGGTATTTGCGGTACAAGAACCTCACTTGCAAGAAAGAAAAGAGCGAGAGTACGTACGTCTGAAATCAATTGCGACCAGTTCTCACGAGAAGGGGAAACTAAAAGCTTGCAGGCAACTGTTGCTCTCAACTCTCGCGAGACCGTGACAATTAAAGATGGAGAATGTGTATTATTAAAATACATTTTTGAAGAAGCAAACGACCAACAACAACCCAAAAAAGTGGCATTTAAACAATAGAATACAATCAAATAAGTATGTAAAAATCATGCGAAAAAGGCCATACTGATGAGTTTAAAACATTTATGATATATAATTTTATGATAACCACTAATAAAACAAGTAAAGCGTGGACAAGACTAGATTGGTTAGTTTTAGAGCCTTTTAAAAAATTTAATATTTGATAGTCAATGACTAATAAGAGTCAGTAAAACTAGAATTACAAAAGGAAATAAAATCATGTGAAAAACAGCAGTCTGATACATGAGAGATCTTCATCATGAAGTGCTTTATACAATTAAAAATAAATTCGCCGAAAGACTTAATCAAATACAATAGAGTAAGACAAGTAAACGAAAAGTGTCCCTCGCAATACATTTGTCATTCCAGTGGATACTTGCAATCTCTGTCATCATCAGGCCCCGTGAGACACGAAGGGGAAGTCAACGTATTACTGATCGGCAGCGGAGACCCGAGACATGTCCTGAAGACCTTGTCGGGTCTGAGGGACGAGGACATCCTGAACGTGAGCCTAACGTCTTCGACCCCCCCCCCCCAAACAATGTGCAGCAAACATGTCTGCTCCACTACAGGTATGGCTGTTTGAAAACAGCATGGAGGTAGTCGCCAGACAGATGCTGCTGCTTTACATGGCGCTGACCCCCCAAGAAAGGATGGGACTTAACGGTGCGCGTCTTTTGCATATTCAGCCAAAGTATAGAAGGGAGCGCTGACCGCGGCTTTTCCGCCCTCTCTTAGAAAAGACAGAGCTGTTCCTGGAGGTGTTCGGCAACAGCGTGATCCGCAGCCAGACGGCCGAGACGCTGAAACGCGCGGCATCGCAGCTTTTGCTCCACGTCAGCGACATCCCAGAGTCCGACGCGCACCCCTGCCTCAACGTGTCTCTTCTTAAGGTGCGCACATCAGCGGAGCTGATGTCACACATCCCGTCCTGCCCACAAAAGGCTGACTTGTCGCAATGCGGCCAGTTTAAGGAGCGGGACGAGCTGGCCGGGATTTTTAAATCCTGGATGCGACGCTCTTCCTCGGCTGCTCCCGTCTCCATTTCCAAAGCTTGGGATTACCGGGTCAGGCAGCACCTTGGGACACGCTACGACTCCAAGAAAGGCTGTTTTGACTGGGACCTTACTATGAAGCTACATGAGAAGGGGGTAACGCGCGCGCACACACGTACTACTTTGTGCTGGCCATTTGTAGCCACCTTAACATTAATGCAAACGTAATGAAACTCCAGATGTTTGAATGTATCAAGAACACTGGTCAATATATATAACTATTTTTTTTTTTTTGCACCGATTCAGAATCTGGCTGTTTTTTTTTCTCTCTTACACGTCCATTTTTTTGTTGTTGTTTGCTTTCTTCTTGTACCGTATCCACAGTGCAGCGTCATTAACAAGCATCAGTATGTCCGGTGGAGGGAGTGCGGCCTGGCCTTTGAGCTGAGGGAAGGCGTCTACCAAATAAGCAACCCCAGCTTGCTGTCCTCTCGGGTTTTCAATCAGAGAGGCGACAGAGTGGCGCTCAGGGGCTACTGGGGGGACATCGTGTCCAGTCCTTACCTGGCCTTCGGCATCGAGACTCAAGACAAGAGCTTGCTCAAGACACAGAACGGCCAACACATGAAGGTAAAAAGGCGCACGCCATCATTTCGGATTCAGGTGGCAAAAGTACTCGCACTTCAACAAAATCGTTATTTGGTGTTCCTTTTTGTATCCGCAGACGGCACAGGACATTTCCTTTGCGAACGTGCAGGAGTTGGTCCAATCTCTGTCTAGGAGACAAGAATGCCACGAGACTCGTCCGTCAAGCACAGAGGAGGAACACACAACTCTTGAGCACTCCGTGCCAGTCAACGGTAGGCGCAGTCTCGGGCCGGTTGAGCGAGTCAACGGGCTGGCGACAATGTGCTTTTTTTGGGGGGTGTCTTTTGCAGACCTGATGCGTCTCAAAGGGGTCTCTGTCAACTTCCTGCCTCTGGATTCCCTCCAGAAGTTGCCAGAAAAAGAGAAATATGCCCATTTCTACCACATCATCCACTTCTCAGCCAGGTGACAAAACAACAACAAATACCGCACACGCCCAAGAAACCTCAGCAGAACCGAAAACATTAGATTCCCAATGATTATTGAACTGAATTATATGGACAGCCGATTGCAATATTTCTATCCCATGAGCAAAAGGGTGATTTTTGATCTGACGACTTAGCAAAAGATGCTAACTGGGGAATAAGATACACCTCGCCTCCGCGTTGTTGCCAAATGAGATTTTTCCGATTGCAGCGCCAGTATTGGGCCTCGCTAGATCGCAAAGGGGCGGGGAGGGCATCGTGTCATCCGTCTTAATTCACCACGCCAGCATTTGAACAGCCGTATGTCGCTGACCATGTTTTTGGGCTTTCTTCCGTGAAACGCCGTCAAGCTGCGCGCACCATTTGGGCCCGAATATCCGGCAGATTGCAACGCCAGACGCCGTGCTCATCGTGGAGTTGGCCAAGTGAGTTTTTTCTCTGGCATCAAGGCTTGTTACCATGGTGACAACACAGTCAAATGCAGCGCCGAAGCTTGAGCACCCCTTTTTGCCCCCTCAGGTACATATTGGACCTGACTAAAGAGCAAGAAGCTGCTTTTGCCGAGCGAGTGTCCGGCTTGTGCCTGGAAGCTGGATTCCAACCATTGTCTGGAGCAAAGACTGATGACATTCACGCTCTTTTTCAAGCTCGCCAGGACAAGTGACGCCGTTTTGTACTCAGTCGTCGTACTTGGTCTGGGGTTGTTTTGTCGCCCCACCCGTTCCCTCGGTGATGTTTTTCTTTTCATTTGTGAAAATGGGGCGTGATAAAAGGAGTTTTGTATCACCCGGTTGCTCAATATTTTTCTACGTCTCTTCGGCAGGTAGTGTCTGTTCCATTTTGTTGCCCCATAATAATAATACAAGGTCAAGAAAGCGATTGAGTCAGATGGGGTTTTTTTGGAGGGGAGGGAATGATTGAATCTCATTGTCTTTTGTTGCAAAGAGACAATTTTTGCCACTTTTCAAAGAGCCGACATGGTTGGATTAAATTGGCCAGGCACTGAAATCAGTCGGGCCTTCGTACGATACAGCCTATGAAAAATTCAACCGCAGATTTTTAACATGCAACACAGCAATTTATTCTTGTCGGTTTCCACTGCAATTTTTTTTTTCCCCCACTTCCAACAAGACCATTTACGCCTTTGTTTTTTGGGTCACTTGAGGGTGTTGACTCACTTCCAGCGTCCTCCGACCTTCCCCTTCCCGTGGCCCTTTTTGCTGCTCCAAGACAAGAGAAGATCTTTGAGCATTTTGCCGCCGGTCGCACGTACACCGCTGTGTGCCATCAACTCACAACTTTTGAGCATGTTGGATTCTGTTCAGCAGGACGGTGATCTGGAGTTGGCAACGGGGGAAAAAAAGTCACAATTTTAAAAGGTGACACCTTGCCATTAGCTGAAATGTAGTCTTGCTCGTATTGGGCGAAAGGGCTCACACCTCATACTTTTGTCTCTTCATCTTCTCAGCCAGGTCAAATTTCTCCGACTCCAGCTGGTAGATGCATTGCCACATCTCCCCAGCTCTTTTTCTAAAAGACAGTTGACAGGATGTTGAAAAAGTAAATGTGCATTAGGCACGCTTGGACCAGATTCATCGCAAAGATAATACGCAGCTTGATTGGTCAAATATCTTCTGTAGTTTGCAGTGCTATGGAGGGACATATCGGACAATATTAGAGGGACTGTAGTTAGTCTCGGTCCAAGAGCACAGAGTGGCCAAATGATGTTCGAAAGTGACCTGAGGGCATCCTCTCTCAGGTCGTCAATGGCTAGCGGCTGCTTCCTCTCCGACAGCGTCTTCTTCTTGATCTCCCTGCCCGTTTGTGTCTTGCCCCGCCTCTGCTCCACCTGCACCCATCAAGAAGCCGGCCGGCATCACGTTCTCCGCTGGCTTTTAACTTGTCACTCTGGGAATTGTTGCCAAGACTCAATCGCAGGTTAAGAAAAATGGAAATTCTTCCCAAATCGCCTTCCTTTGAAACCATCAACTGAGGATAAACGATTGCATAAAATACATCCACACACCCACATCACGTCTTTTGAGAAAAGAGCAACATTATTGATAGCTTGTCTTCAGCACAACTGACCTTGGCCAGGAATCCTCCAAAGTGAGCCCCCATGTTGGAGAGCACTTTCTTCTTCTTGGCCTCATCTTCCGCCCTCTTCTTGGCCTCCTCGTCCTCCTTCCTCTGCCTCTCCTCCTGCGGACGCCAACGCCAAAAGTTCATTGCCCGCGGGTTTTTCGATAGGGCAACGTGTCGTTCAAAGGTCATGCTGGGACATCACCGCAATCCTGGACTGTCGGTCACGCTCTTTTTCCGCTCTCACGCGCTGCTGCTCAGCTCTTTCTGCCCGGCGACTCTCCTGAGGTACAAAAAGACAGTTATCTGGGATTCTGATGGTGTATTTTCTATCCTGCAGTTGCAAAAAAAAGTATTACAATCCTTGACTTGAGGCCAATGAGCTCCTCCTCTTCTTTTTTCCTCTGCTCAAAGTGCACATCAATCAGAGTTTGAAGCTCCAGGAGGTCTTTCTCCATCCGCTTTCTGTGGATGTCCTGATGGCAAACCGACGAAAGCACTTTTAGTCTTCTCACAATCATCACAGGAATACCAAAGCTCAGACTCTCAACTGAATCAAACTCAAACGAACCGCACAACTGCCAGGCCGACGTCTTTGTCACTTTATCACAATGCTGCAATGACTTCAAATGGAAAAGAAAATGAGGGGAACATACATCAAAGTCTACTCTTTCGCCTTCTGGGATCTTTGGGGGTGCGAGCTGCGTGGCCAACGGCCTGCGAAACATAGATATGTATTTTTGAAGCGCTGTGTCATAGCTCACTTCATTAGGCTCAATAATGGGAGGCTAACACTGTCCAAAAACATTGCCAAATCAAGACGCATCGTAAACTGAAAATCAAATGCGAGACTTCTGGTGAGGACTGAACGTGATGCATATGGGTGATACTCACTTGTGCTTGGGCCGTTCTCCTTCCACGCGTTCGGTTCAAAACAGCGGAAGATGTCAATGAGTAACCAAACACAGCCAAGTCGAAACGCAGCACACCGCGAAAATCAACATTTGACACGAACTAAGAAATCCCCACACGCATCCTTACCTCCTTCTCCTTGCTCATCTTCCTCTGTGGAGGAAAAGGGCCTCGACGGTGACAAAAAGGATTTCTTTCTTTATTTCTTTGAATTGACGTGACTTACCCTCGTGATGCACTCTAGATAGGAACGAAAAGTACAAATACATTGCAGCAGATGCATTTAAAGGTGGAAGATCACGCTTGGTGAAAATTTGTTGGGAGAGATGAGGCAATTTACTCACCCATGATCTTCTAAGTCAGACATTGTGACACTGAAACAGAAATAAGAAACGAAATACTGATCGGAGTGAAAAACGGAGCACCTCCAAACATTCTCATTGCTAGTCTTTTTTTTTTTTAACAGTAGATGCAAACTTTTTTTTTAATGATGTCCAAAAATAAAATCAAGATAAAGCATTTCAACACCCCCGTTCATTTGGCTGCCGATGACATACTTTTGAACAGGGATGTGTCGAATTTTTATTTCCACTTCAAATGGTCCTCAAAACATTAACATTCACCCGCATACACATGTAAATCTGCAAAATATACCGAAGGCCATCATTTGGCAGCAACGGACTGGCGTGATATGTCGTGATGCCGCCTTTGTTCAAAGACAACACAGCAAGTCAAAATAGCATTTGTCGTTAATGATCTCGGAATAGAAGAGAGGCCGCGGATGAGTCGCGTCTCCCAGGATAAAAGCGAGGTATTACACGGCCCATCATTCTTGTTTAATTTGATTTACTCCAAAGGAACGCGCGGCGCAGGGCTTAGAAGTGGTCGTCGGGCAGCTCTTAACACTCGTCGGCTCTCCAATTACTGTCTAATCTACTTGATCATCTCACACTTTCAACATTTGGGGAAAGGAGTCGAAATGCTCACGCCGCTCACACACAATAAACTATGCAGAAATGTTGACAGAGCTCTTGAATTGGATTGGACAAAGTTGGTCTCCCAAAATGAAATGTTGATTGAAAAAAAAAAATAAATAAATAAATAAATAAAAACAGCACTCTTTTCTTCTCACATACTACTGTAGATGTTGACTGCGGTCGCCTAAACAATTAATAACAGGGACGTATCCGGACACGAGTGCATTACACATGATGGATGGAGGCCCCGCACAGTTGCGAGCTTTGGCTGACCATGAAGCACATTCGGACCGCGCCAAGGGAATAAACGTGGCAAAAAGCCAGCACGCGACAGATCGGCCACGGAATCCCTCACGTCGCTCCCTTGTTATGATTGATGGGGCCGAATAGTCAGCGCAGCAGTTGGAGAATGGAGCCTCGACTGAGGAGTCGATTTCAATTCCTCTCCAACATCCCAAATCAGCTTTCCCCATTGAAATGAATGGAAATGACGTGAATCTGTTCAACACCCACATAAAAAGAGGAACACGCCACCCCCCCATGTGTTTTTTAGTAAGATAAACAGCACAATATGGTCTTGTGCTGTAGAAAACATCAGTGTTGACAACATTACAACGAATTTGCAGAATGACAGTTTGTGCCTCACGATCGTGCTTCAGTGCCCATTGATGTCGAGTCCGATCACTCCTCAATGGAGGTAGTGCTGTTGAGACCTCAATAGCAATACTTGTCGTAGCTCGGGGGTCCGCAAAACAACTTATAATAAATGCACTGTCCAAAAAAGTGCAGTCGAGTGTGGCTAAATGCGGCCAATAGAACAACAACCTGTTCCTCTCATGCAAGTGCATTTTCTCTGAACCGAAACAGTTTGACAATCTTAGCTTTAACGAGACCTTGTGAGCACCATCTGACTCTTTTTGTTTGACTACACAACGCCCTGCCCCCTTCACTTCATTCTGATTACTTGCTGTTTAAAGAGGAAAAGGATGGAAAACATGCGGCGGTCTGTGCAAAAGGATTCCAAAAAGTAACACACCGATGTGGAAAAGTCATCGTTCTTACCAGTTTGGCGGACGTTGAGGCGTAATAAGCGGACTGCCTGGGGCTCTGGCTCTTTTATAAAAGGCTCCGGTGGGGTGACACGAAGGGGACGCGGAATAAAAATGAGCAAGCGGATTATTGGCGGCTTTTGGGAGCTGAAGCCCGAGTCTGGCAGAGCGGCTCGTGAGCGAGCGCCTCGTTGCTGAGCTCACGGCTGAAATGAGAAGACAAAAAAAGACAGGTGGTGACAGCGCGGAACAAAAGAACCATTTCATTTTTCCCCCCTTCGAACATTTGAATCCCGAGATTGCCGCCGTCCCCTCAGGCACGGCGCTCGGTCACGATAGGTTTTGGTGCAGAGGAAGACACATTTTTAAAAAGCACACAACAAGCACTTCTGTCTTCGACAATGTCTTTATGTTAACTTCAGGTTAAAAGTTTGGATTAAAGTCATGTGACACAGTCTGAGCAGGGCCTGTGGTGAAAACAGAACAACATCAATCAAGGAGCTTCTGTCCGGGTTGGCCTTGACCACAACTGCTTGAACGAAAAAGTCCACATTTGACCTGCACATGTTCAAAAACATATGTTGCATTGCTTTGGTGCTTTTCAAGAACTGGACAGATGAAAAGAAAACAAAACCCAAACAAACAGAGGGATAGATACAAGGAGTGAACGTGCTTCACCATCTTTTCAAATGCCTGAATGCACTCGAAAGTCAAAAGCCTTTGGCACATAAAGAAGAAGCACAACATTTTACTAGAGAGCAAAGCAAAACGTTTTAAGTGAAGGAATGTTTCAGGTGCCTTCCTGGTTATATATCTTAATGTGTGTGTGCGCGTGCGCGTGTACATTTGTGTCTTTGCGTGCACGTCGTCACTGCACAATGCCCAAGCAAACAAGCGCAAATACTTGAGCATTCAATTGTATCAAAACAAACATGCCCCTGTACAAAAAAAAAAAAAAAAAAAAAAAAAAAGCTTTTTATCCACCGTGGGAATAAATACACATTTAAAAAAGAGTATTAATTCCTAGTGGGACTGAATGACAAGTTCTTCTGTGGACAAACCCGGCAAATATATAAAGGCATGTAAAAACATCACCTCACTTGGACTGGTTTCCCTCAACTGAGCTGTCTTTTGATCTGGCTGCTTCGATTCTTGTCTGATTTCTTTTCTTCTCATGTCCACACTGCCCTCAATCGGTAACGCTGCTTAAAACACCTTCCCTTCAACGATCCCTTTTCTCCCTGCGGTGGAAGCATCTAAAGGTTCTTCTTCAGCTCGGGCCGACCCTCCTCGGTTTTGCTGGGCTCTTTCTGGCCGGGGCTCATCAGATCCAGCAGGTCGTGCAAGGCTTTTGTGATCTGAGTACCAAACTTATGGGCATCCTTGAAGGGACATAAAAAATAAATAAATAAATAAAGGTGATGGTGCGGGGGTAATTTTACCAACTAGATAACATGTGGCTCCCATGAAAGGTTGCGAACTCACGGTGTCAGGACAAGAGTGCTTGCAGGAGATGTGGAAGTTGATCAGGCTGTCTCCCACAATGTAGTACGACACCCCGTAGCCGTCATCAGCCACCTGAAAAGACAACTCTTATCTTTTTAAACTTTTCCCAAAGGTGAAGCTAAAACGCACGGCATCCACCTCTGCGCCCGCCAGACAAAGTAGGACTAACCGGACCAAAGCCTCCCCCGCAGGAAATGTACTCTGGGTGGTTCACGAGGTCAAACAGCTCCACCTGCTGGATGGATGTCTGACTGGTGGACAGTCTCCAGGGCTCTGATAAAACCTGAAGAGACCCAACAGGCTCTTGGATCCAAATAACTGAAGAGACTGATTGCGACGATGTCATGTGAGCGTTTCAACAAAAAAAAAAGAAAGACCTCTTTCAAGAAAGGCGACTCCACTCCGAGGTACTGGGACACGACGTAGAGGCAAAAGAGGTGTCTGTCGATGCCGGCGCCGGTCATCGCCATGCGGTAAAGGTTCTGGTGCGTGTCGGATGCCGCGCGGAACAGACGCCTGCAGACATCTGCCGACTGATGGAAGGAAAATCAGCAGTTTTTGGTTTTGTGTGCCAAATAGAGCTGAATGATTTGTGGGGGAAAAAAACACCCTAAAACACATCGCAAACTCGAGATGCACGATAAATATTGGAATGACGACGTCCTGTCAATAATATATATATTTTTAAAAAATGACGACGGTCATGGGTACGACGGCCTTCTGAAGGCCAACAAAGAAGGAAAACCCCCGCTGCTTGGAATGACAAGTTACGCATTCCGTCGACAGAAAGCGGACAATCTCACCTCACCACCCACAAGCGCTTTGACAAAGGCACTGCTCTCGTTGGTGCAGGAGCGAACCGTCTCGGTCCTGCCTTCCCTGAACAGACGAGTCATGGAGGCCTCGTAGGTCAGGCAAAACGTTTTCCGATTCTGGAACGTCACAAGAAGAACTGCAGCCAAAGTCCGCGGCAGTAAAGCACTGAGACGCATCAAGGCTGCAGGCGGCCCTCACCCTGAAGTAGGCCAACTGAAGAGCCACCTGGATGAAGGCGTCTGGACTGACTCGACACTTCTTGATCTTTCCCTTGCCGAAATCTCGGAACGATATCACGTGGAAGTCGATGTCGTCGGCTAGGGCTTGGGCCACTGCCAGGGACTGAGAGATCCGCTCCTCGCACTGCGACACGCGGGGTTCAACGTCAACTCGGTCCCCAAATAGAGCGTCAATGTTCATATATCTACGCTCGTGACAAAGAGTCAAGGGCAGAACACGGCAATGCTTCTTCACTTTCATTGATTTTTTTTGACTTAGCAGAGAGGACAGCATAATTTTTTTCAGTGAGCACTGATTATCACAGGAATTACAATCCAGACGCACCACCGAATTATGAGTGCTTTTTGTGACATTTTGGTGGTATACTGTGAGATATTTTTCAGCCATACAACTGCATTGCACTCAATCTCTTGACTCGACCGACTAACCTCTGGCGGAATTTTCCATGTGAGCTTCTGAGGTTCCGCGAGTGATGGGTCCACATCACCTTTGCAGTGACCTTCACTGTTGTAACCCAGCTGGAAACAGTCGGTGGCCACGACGTACTGAAAAAAATTCCTTTATTTTTAAAGGTCGAAGGCATCGGGATCCGTCGAGGGCCAAGCGGCTCTCGGATGATCCCCTCCTGACCTCCCACAGGTGCGCGATCACCGGTGCGTCGGCCCACGAGTGCTCGGCGTTGATTCCGTTCTTCCCGTTCTTGAAGATGACCACTGAGAAAGACTTATCGAACCACCTGCGGGACAGAGAAAAAAATGGATGTTGTGAGAGGGGGAAAATAAGAAAGGCGACATTAGGGGTGTCCAAAGTATAACTGGTAGAACGGTAGCTTCTACTATTTGGCTAATGCTACAAAGAGCATTTGGACGTTTTGTATCTTTACCCACACCGATAGACGGGCTTCCGTGTTTAGAAAGTTAAGCACAATTTTCCCCCCCATACCTTTGCACACGCCTCGGCGACACGGTTGTCAAGGCAGAGTTCACTTTGGACGAGAATTACCTGTCGTAACACTTCCCGTGCAACAGGCACTTAGCGTAGCGGTCCAGAGTCCCCGCCGGGTCGTATTCCATCATGCCCTGCACGTCGTCGTCCAGGGTTACGAAAAACGCGGCTTTCTCGATGCAGTCCAGCGAGCGCTTGTTGAGCCCGCTGCTGAAGTACTTGCTCCTGGCTTGCGCCCACGGAATTCTGCGTGGAAAAGCAAGCGACATTTGAAAAACCAATCCACTTTGCCTCACATCGCCTTCAATACAAAAATAAAAGAGCGGTCGCTTCTCACAGACCTATCGCCGGCGGTCAGAGCGCCAAGTTTGGCTTCTCCCGCGCAGGGTGCCGAAGGGTCATCGAGGATCCTCTGAATCTGGAATTCGATCTCCCTCGGGGAAAGCAGTCTTCCCGCCTGGTAGGCCCTGAGCCGAAAGTAGCGTCCTCTGTGGTACACGGCCACATAGTCGCTGTCCTGCCAGTGCTGAACGGTGTCTTCAAGAGGCAAAACGGGAAGGCATTTTGGATTTGAAGCGGCTCGAGCATATCCGGTGCTGTTGGTTGTGTTGGCAATGTTCCGTTTGGTATCAAGACCCGTCTATTTAGGGCCGCGTTCCCCATGGCGGGCTTGATTCAGCGTACTGAGCTATTGGGGAATCCCACATTAACAGCTGCCGTTTGCCAAAGCCACCAAAATAATTTACGGGGAAACTCGCCGGCGACTACATGCGAAGGCCAGTCTGGAATTTCTGCCTGAGGAGACGGAGGAGCGCAGCCATAAGTGACGGGCCTGAGTGAAAGAATGCGACGTGTGCTTTTGGTTTCAAATTCCAAATGAATGACGAGTGTAAAACGGACGGGCCACTTTTAGTTGTCCGCTAAAGTGATACGAGGGAATAACTATGGTAGCGAGGGGTCGTGTTCTACATCTACAGCTCTAAAATGAGGGATGATCTGGTTTGATTTAAAAAAAAAAAAAAAAAAAGAGCATCAATACTACCTGTTAGCGTTCCAGGGATTCGACATGTGTCAAACATCCTCTCAAACTGATAGGAGCAGCAAGGAACCGCAGACCTCAACAACCACTGAGTCAGAGGAAGAAGACGACGACGACGACGAAGTACGGACCGCAGAAACACCAGTGAGCAAAACGGTAGAAAACCCAAAACCAATATGGATGGAAAAAGAAACCGAGGAGAGATGAGAGAAGGTGATGTGCGGGCAGAGAAGAAAAAAGACGTTAGTCAAGTCAACGGCCTGGCTCATAAAAACAGACGCAGCTCAACGGGACGAAAGGTGACAGGCGAGGGATGACAGGACTCGCACACAACTTGAGATGCTCAACAGTGACAATTTTTTTTTCCCGACCCCAGCATTGTGGATCAGCCATCTGGACAAGCGGCCACTTTGAGGGGATGTTGACGCAATATGTGCGTTCCTGTGTGGAAGAGTGTATGCGTGCGTGTGTGTCCATGTCTTTCTCTTTACCCGTCTCCTCTCCAGGAGTGCGTGTGGTGTTGAACATCCTCTCACACTGAGCCGCACACAGAGGAATGACAGTGCCGGGTATACGACTCTGAGAGGCGAGGAGGGGGGAAGACATATTGTAAAGCAAATAGAGTAAGAGTGATGTGTGTGTGTGTGAGGGTGGGGACACAAACGTGGTATGAGAACACGAGGGTCTGAAGGAGATGCACATTACATGTAATAAAATCCCCACAGATTGATGGATGTAGACAATTACAAAAAAACAAAACAAAAAACACAAATGGTGCCTCAAATATTGACAGATTGCATTTCAAGAGACCGCAATTGTTGTTGGCGCGACTCTTGTTGCCGAGGCAACAGTGGCTAAACTCACAGGTTTGAGCTCTTCTCTGTTGAGCTTGCGGCGGTACAGGAACATTGCGTGGATGGTGTTACCGGCTCGGGCTGCCTGGATGGGTGTGGGGGTCACATAGAGGAAGTCCTGGCGGGAGAGAAAAGGCAGAGACGGAGATTCAAACAACTTGAGAGACTCGATAAAAACCAAGAAAACAAAACTATGCCAAGCAGATAATCTGGAGCAGTACTGAATCTTTATTGTTCTCATAACAAGTCACCTAATGAAGTCAAATGGAGTTGCACCAAAAAGGGTAAATACCATGCCGTAATAGTTACTGTTGACCATAATGGGGCTCCTTCCTCGCAAATACACGTATTCCTCCCACCAGTCGCTGACCTAAAACACATGAAAAACATGATCGAGAGGAGGGGAAAAAAAAGCCAAGCTTAAATCACCTCCGAAACACAGAAACAGTGCTCATGCCGTTTTCCGAAAGTGGAAGTGGTTGAAATGTGGTGACTCACGTAGTTGGAGGCCCAGAGCGATTTAAGTTTGAGGTACCACTGCAAGCGATTTCCAAGGCGGCTCTCAAATTCGCCGGCCAGTTTGGTCATCCGCTCGTACTGGGTGTCATCCATCAGCGGGCGCACTGACTCCAAATACTGAACAGGACAGACAGGCCAGATAACCGGAAAGACACATCAGAGTCGACAAGCCAGTCTTATATGTGGAACACAATTGAGTTAATTGTACAGATGCAGGACCAAAAAAAAAAAAAAAACACACCTAAAATGACGACAACACGATCTACAGGTGGCAACCTACCCTCTTGAGCGTGTCCTTGATGGCGGGCACAGGCAGGTTTGGCAAGGAGCCCTGGTAACTGTAGAGCAGAGGCTTTCTGCCGGAGAAGATGCGCACCAGTGCCTGGCATACGGACACATTCATGTGGTTCACGGCGTTCAAGTCACTTGGGGAATTTTAATGTCGAGTTTTTGGTTTTGAAATGCAGTGAGTCGTCAATAGTTTTGCGGAGCTGCTTCGTTCGTTTTTCTTTGGGTCTTTTTTGTTTTAGTTTAGATTTTATGAGTGCTCGTGTTAGTTTTGGTGTGTATTTGTTGTGTGCAAGATTTTTAAAGTTATCACCCCAAGTATGGGTACCAATCACAACAGAAATATTATTCTAAAAACAACCATGCACAGACTTTGAAGTACAAAATGTGGCGTGCAAAACACCGCTTCTAAAGTGAGCTTGGTTGGTCTCATGTTCCCTCCCTTGGTGTGCTATGGGGCAGGAAATAAGCACTGACCACCCAGACTTTCGTGGTGGTGGACATCTTGCCGTGCTGCTCGAAGATCCAGCGGTGATAGGAGAGGAGCTGCTTGAGGCACAGGCGCATGGTGAAGATGAGCAGGAGCCACAGCAAAGTGCTGAAGAGCACTGCCGAAACCACCGTCTGACATTGGCTGCTCATGGACTGGCTGTGTGAGAAGCGCAGGAAAAATATTTCGCTCAATTACTGCTCCAAGCAGATTGTCCACCCAGTGCGCTTTTTCTTACCTGACGGGCAGATGCTCTTGTATCTTGGCTATGAGTCCCATGGAGGGGTCGGAGCGAGTGTACATGGTGGCCAGGATGGCGATGACCACAAAGAGCCAGGAGGACGGGCTGGCGGGATACACTCCCGTGATCACGCTGTTCTATTTTCCAGGAAGGGGGCATGGGGGGGAGGGGAATTGTTTCCATTCAACCGATTCCATCCACTTTTCCGTGCCACACGCGTACATGATTTACAGAATGAGGAACTACAACGCAACATTATCCATACACTGCTGGGTAAGAGTGAGATGTGCTTATTGATCCTTTATTCATGCAGGGGTGTCATATTGATGTCAGATTTTAATGGGCCAAAAGCTAAGATCAGAAGAAGCCATGCTTTATTGTGGTCCATTACGCAAGTATGCTCTTTTTCCACCGATGATAACAACATAACTGATTGAAAATTAGTTTCCCCACTCCCCACCCTCAAGCATAACCACGGCTTTATTGATTGACCGTGTCCAAAAATGTCACGCGTTAGCAAGCCATCTGCTGTGAAGCGTTCATTTTGAGTGTCACGACTCTTCCACTGATTAACTTATGAAGTGAGCCCGCACGGCCAAATCACCGAACAAGGGATTACCCGAAATCACGGAGGCGGACATACCTTGAGTCGAATGATACGTTTCTTCCAGGAGCGGAGGCCCGAGCGGTAGATCTCTGTGAGGGCCTGATGGGACAGCTGCAGATCGATGCCCTCCGGGGTGACGGTGAACTGGAAGGCCACTGCCTGGTGGGCCTCCGCCATGACGGCTGTGTGCTGGGCAAAAGAAGAGATGAGCTTGGGGTGACGGGTCAATGTCGCGATTGCGATACAATGTGCAATTATTTTTTTTCACCGTCATCTTCACACGATTTTTTTTCAACAATCACAAGCAATACATGAATCTCTATCTCAATAATCAATGTCAAATTAGTTTTACAAATACATTTTGGTGTGATAGGCTGGGCTTTCCCGAAAATTAACCGTGAATTCATATGAAAGACAGTTTCTCGACTTGCGGTCTTTGACGCGTTCACTACTGTAACTTCACCTCTATTGCATCGACTTACACATGCAAGTCGCTTGCAGGTTTCAAGTAATTGTGCAGTACCTCAACATACAATTAATGTCATTTGATTGGTATATGGCCAACAGGGAATTCAGGTTTTGTCAGGTGTTGAGATGAACCGTAGTCCAACTCCAACGACATCCCGGTGTACGTCCCTTCCTCAAACACAACAGAGTCAAACGCCAGCGGTTGCTGTAAACATTTCAAGGCAATGATGTTCTTTCACAGGTACCATTTAGATTTAGGTTTAGATTTGTGTGTGTGTGTGTGTATAAATGTGTGTGTGTGTATGTATATATACACACACACACACACACACACACATTTATTTCTATACACACAGACCACAACTTGAAGTTAGTGTCGACGTTTTTAGCGTAGCGAGTAGCGTATGATTTTAAACGCAAAAGCACACGCACACAAAACTAAATTTGAAGTCGTCGCGAACAACGAGTGACGACAAAGACCGAGTAGTGGAGGTTTTGAGGGACTTGCATAACGTCGTTGCTGGGAAGCTCGTTTTTTTGTAACGGTAAACATTCAAAAAGTGTTTGTTTGCAACATGTTATGCAAGTACCACACTGGCGCTAACACGTTTTAAGACATTTGACGCTAGCTTAAAGCTAGTTCCTGTTTGGCACTTTGGGATTCCTTTCTTCTTCACATCAAGATTTTCTCTTTTTCAACAGTCATATTGGCGTATCTTGCGAGGAATTGGTGTGCAACGTAAGTGAGCTAAATGGAGAAAACACCTGCAATCGTCATTGGTCCACGCCACTCGAACTGGAACTAGCTGCATTATTGTCACGTTAGCCACAGTCGGCACGTCACCCTCGTCGTGACACATTTCACGCCACGCCCGTGCCGTCATACCTGCTGCTGGCCTTTACGGGGTACAAAACGGAGTTGCTGGATCAAGTGTTTCACTTAAAACATCGACAAAAGCCGTGGGCGCGTCGGCGTGGTCCTGTCGGCCCTCCTCGTCGGTAAATTGTACAACCGAACCGTTGCCCTCCGGAATGGACCTGATGATGCCTTCACAGACTGTCGGAAACATCCAAATCATGTGAAGGGTTAGGGAGTTCACCGTTGCAAGTAACAATCACAACTGAATTAGAACAGGGAAACATTTTTTATTGCTCAAAACTAAAACTGATAGTAATTTAGTTATGTGACATTGACATTATTTTAATCAATATGATTATTAAAGCGCAACTGAACTATTCTGTACTGTACATACTGTGCCGAACAGATTCATGCACAAATTGAGACAATTAAAAAAATGTTCGTATCTACCACCGTCAATAATATACTTCGCGAGTTGCACTAATTAGCTTTTTTTAATGCATTTTATTTAGGACAGCACGCCACCATAGCATAATTTTCACCCAAAGGTATATATATGTACAGTAAGTTGTGAATCATTTCATTTTATTCTCAAATGTGATATTTGAGCCTAGATGGCTGAAAGCAAAGCTATTTATTCTGTTGTATGAGCGACAACAGGTGGGTACAGGCTCATCTTCTGCAATCTAGTGGAAGAGCATCTCATCGTTCCGCCTGTCGCGCCTCAGAAATCAGCACTGGTGTCATGGAACACTCACCTGACTTCAGTGCAGGGTAGCAAGGGTTCAGTTCCCACCTTAGTGGGGGTGTAAATGCGAACGGCCTTTCGTCTCTGTGTGTCCTGGGATTGACTGGACCAGTCTAGGTTGGACTGTGCCTTCTCCTAAAGTCAGCTGAGATACACTGAACGGGGTTAAGCATGACACAAAAAGACAATACGGCCGGGCCTCAGAAATGCGAGGAGCCACGTACACAGATTTAGGGTTTATTATTGTAACCATAACAAGAAGGTGGATCTCTCTTTATTTTTGACCCTCAATTCAATTGTAATTGTTTTTTTTTTAAATCACAGGCAATAGTTATAAGAGTGCACTTTTCATATTTAAATTATGATACAGACATTTTTTGAACACCTTTTTCTACTGACCCTTGATGGATGTAGGATAGTTTACAATCTTGGCCACAGTTGGGTCAATGACAGTGAATGTGGCGTGTAGAAGAGAAAGATGAATCGGATGGCGGCGAGCAACCATAAAGCGAGTGCAGAGAGTGAAGCGAACGACGGTTTCTCGCACAACATGTGAGGGGGCGGACAAACGGGTCAGAGTGACCTGGGAATGAAATGAAAAGATGGAGTAAATTGGCACGTGTGGGGTGGCGGGGGAATGGGCAAAATGCCTGTTCTGGTTTGGTGGTTGGGTTGCGTATCTGTCAAGTTACTCTGCCATCAAGCACCACTCTCCCACGTATACCAGCGCCAAGCCTGATGAATTCAACCTCAGATAAACTGAGCTCACGCTGTATTGCCATTGACTGTTCACGTGATGGAAAAAGTTAATCTGCGGACAACCAATCGTGAAAATAAGTGAAAGATGAACAAATGGCTGCGTGCTTGAATAAATAGGTAAAAAAAAAAAAAAAAGCAGAAATGAGCACTGTCCTGCACATTTGTTGCATATTGTGCCGCATGGAAGACTGGTGATGCGCATCAGCTAGTCTATTCGAGAACTGGAGTAACACTACGACATGACTGTGTGCGGGGTAGGATGAGAGGATCTGCTTACTTCCCCTTTCCAAAGTCCAGCTCAACCGGGAATCTGACACAGAGAGCCGCGAAACCATGAACGTGTGCGTTTTGTGTGTCCGTCTTGTCGGAATACTCTGGCGAGAGTTTGACAAGTAAAGGAGGCTGCGGTCTGAAGCGTCGCAGGCCAGGAATGTCATTCTCTTTCAATGTGGGACAAACAGCTGGGATGAGGTTCATGGACATATTCACATGTCGGGTTTTTTCCTCTCTTTCTTTCTCTCTTTTCATCGAGTAATGTTGCTATTTCTGTCGAAATCAAACAATAATTTCCCTCAGAGTAACGGGAGTCCAAAGACATGAGTTCATCTTGTCTCTGAAGAGAAATGAAAAAATGAAAAAAATGTTGCACTGAGGAGGCAGCTTCCTCTCCCCAGCACTGCCACGTATGCTGTCCTTGCTGCTACCGCCGCACGTCCTCAAAGGAAAATAAATACGGACCAAATAAAAAAATAATTTCTCACATTCACTGACATAGCTTACTTTGTTGGTTTTCTTTGAGTCGGAGTAGGACGCTGCCTTCCTGAGAAGATCAGGGCCCCTTTTTTTTTTTTTTTTCTCAGCTCGCTCCCACTCAGTGAGGAGGATGCTTCAGGTTTAATCTGCCTCCGACGTACACGATGTCGTGAGCCGACGAGTTGTCCGCACATCACCCGAGAGTGACGTGAAAGACGCAGCGGTTCATTTTCCATCCAAGCTCGAGAGCCGTCGCAGCACGCCTAATTCTTTTTGGTATCAGATCTTGTCGTACAATGCTTACGGAGGACGAGCTATCAGGTTTCGTCGGCATCCTTGAGCAGGCTGATTTGCTAACCGGCATGCACATTAGCACTTCAAAATTCCTACTCTTGATTTTGAGAAACTGCAGCCACGGCGGGAGACCAAACTACTCATTCATGTGTTATGTTGTCACCAAAGGGCCATTCCGTCGCTCTCGTTTAAGGGTTGCAGTCCGGGTCGGCCGAAGGATCCAGACAATAGTTAAAAAGCAAGATGGGGGTAGGCTCAATTCTTGCTATGATCAAAGTATCTCCGACTTAGTCGAGGGAGGAGCTTGTGTTTTGCGGGGACGCTCAAAGATGAAGTCAAAGAATGCGGAAGCCGCTGCGGCATCCCGTGGCACGGAGTCTCGTTTGAACCTACGGTTGCGATTGTGTTCCGTTGGTGGACAGAATTCGGGTTCTCTCCTTCGCCGAGCCTCTGCGCTGCAGAACTCCCCCGCTGCCTCCGAGGCCGCCGCCATCTGCTCGCTCGCCCCACTCGCACCTGTCGCCCCCACCCTCTGAGCGCCTGGAATTTTGCCGGGTGGGCGTCCGGTGGGGTCGGCCGTTCTTCTCATCTGGGAAAGGATCTGGAGACGAGAACGGGAAAGTCACTGACTGGAGTTAGCGGGAGAGAGAGAATTGATTTTTGAGTTGATTGTTGAAGGACATTGTCAGTCCAAACCAAGTCATCTTCTTGCAATGTTTGTGTTGATACTAAATAGCCAAATGGTTGGAAAACAAAAACAAAAAACAAGCGTGAGGGACATTTGATCAAAATCACAGCAGGTTTTTTTTTCGACAGACACTCCACTCTAGTGCATTTTCTCTATTGTTGCTAAGTTGCCACCTACTTTTATAGAAGGGAAGAATGATGGACAGAATAAAGCTTTTAAAAAATGTGTGTGTGTGTGTGTATACGGTGTGTAACCTCAAAAAGTCAGACAGCGGTACCGTTGTAAACCCAGGGTCCCCGGTCATTTTTTTCCTCGACTTGTCTGCCCCCCCGCCCCGCCATTGAGAACTCCAAGTTTGCACGAGACATGGATCTCACCAGATAGGGCTTGCACCAGGGGTTGATCATGGGAGCTGAGAAGCTGGGCTTGAATCGTTTCCACCACTCGTCTGAACCTGCGACTCGGACCTAAGGGCGCGCGACGGAAACAGCGGCGGTTATCGTCGCTCCGTCACCACTGTCCTCAAAGAACGGCCGTTGCGATTCAGTGCCGAGGCGTTCGCCACGCCAATCCATGGATGCAGCCAACCAACTTGCCTGACATGAGGGTGAAGGTCACGCTGTAGATTCCCGTCTCCCTCCTGCCGTCCCTCTCGGCCCTCTCCCTGTCCCGCTCCTTCTCGCCCTCGGAGAAGGCAATATCCACCTGAAACTTGACGGGCTTCTGGAAGACGGAAGGGCCGCCGGAGGACTTGTATTCGGCCCTGAAGCTTGTCTGCGAGATGACGCTGTGACTGAGCGACGGGATCTGTGCGGGGGGGAGACAGAGAAGAAGCAGAGAGACCGACAGACTTACGAGGCGGGAGAGGTACGGGGGATCCGACGTGAGTGCGGGGGAGACAAAAGGTGAGGGTGAGGGTGTGGAGAGGAGAGAAAGAGTGAGCCACGGGCCAAAGCAAAGGCATTCATCCAATGTGTCGCCGGCGAGCACAACTGAACCGAAAGAAAGAGGACAGAAATGAAGTACGCACCTCAAGAGAGTCTGAGTTTGAACATGCGCCCCGAAAACAAGCCCGCCACCTTTGAGAGGCGGGGCAGACAGCGCACGCGGCATACTTACAGACAGGAAGGCGTGGACGATGTCGGCTTTGACGGAGCTCAGAGGTTTGTCTCTGATCACCACAAAGATCTGCTCCTCTTTCTCCAGGCCGATGAAGTTCCCAAACCACGACTTCTTGGCCAGCCTGCCACGGCGCAAGGCCAGACACTCAGGAGGCGAGCCTTGGGATTTCGCCACGCGTGTTCTTGTTCATGCGCAAATGAGGACTTACTCAGGGCTGGATTCTGGTGTTAAACTGGACATGTCCTCCGACGTGGGCACTAAAAGAGACCACTACTTGGTAAGTCTGGCGGGACTCTTCGCTGGCAGAATGCGACTTTTCTCAGGTCGGCCACATTCCATCAATCAACTCGATTTGAGACGCATGAATCTCAACATCACCGGCCACTCGCTCACCTTGCAGTTTGCGCCGATGGAACCGAGGTGAGCCCAGTAGGTTGTTCTTGAAAGAATTGAGGCGAGTCCTCCAGTGGGCGGAGCTGCTGGCCGCCATGCCGCTTCCCCCTCCGGGGCTGGAGGGCGGGGTGAGCGACAGGGAGCCCACCCCGCCCCCTCCCTCGGCCCGCGAGGAGGAGGAGGACGAGGAGGAGGAGGGTGGGGTGGAGGAGGGGTGCTGAGGGTGGTGGACAGGGGTGCCCAAGGGCGTGGGCAACGGAGAGCCCTGGGGAGTGACCTGCGGCACAGAGCGGGCAGAGTTTGGGTACAGGCTCTTGGTCACGGACTTTAGGACAGAGGACGACGGGAAGAAGAAACGGGGAACGGGCGAGAGCAGGGGCGAGGGAGAGGGCGAGCGGGAGGATGGGTTGTGCAGAGGCAGGGATTTGACGGGCTGGAGGTGAAGCCGTTCGGCGGGTCCCTTGGTGGGCAGGGTCTGGGTCTTTGGATGGGGGGGAGCTTTGGGCCTGTCGTGAGCCCGCCCTGGGCGAGGTGTCGTGGCGCATCCCTGTTTGGGCTCCTTTGTTTGGGGGGACGCGGCGGCGGCGGAGGTGACGTCTGATTGGCTGAAAGTGAAAATGGGACTTTGATAGGACTGGGGAGCGGGGGGGGGGGGCGTATGGAAAAACAAGAGAAGGGATGGAACACGGAGAAAGAAGGATGGAAATGAATATCATGCTTCATGACAAGAGACTGCATCTTGTGAGGTAAGTGAACGTGTGCAGCCGAGATGTGCCCCAACGGCCCCAACTTCCAGCGAGAGGCTTCATGAACGTTGTGACGAGACGCAAGCGCAATGATTCCAATTCTTTACTTCATATTCATGTACACGTTTATGATTGTGCGCATGGGTGGCTCATGCAGGATGTGGACGAGAAGTGGCATGAGAATACACAATAGAAAAGTGAAAATGGCACACAAACCTGCCGCGTGAGGTGGACTCTGAGGAGCTTGATTTGTGGTAATGTTCCAAAAAAAAAAAATGATTAGAGGAGACGGACAAAAGGATGCTTGTGGGAGTTATGGCTGGTGGTTTGGGACTGAGATTTTAGAGAACATCTTGGAATTTAGGATCGAGCCTACTGCAAAACACACACCAATTTAGTGTTCTTTTTGTCCCTAAAACAAATGAACAGTTGACTTTAATCGGAATAATAACAATTATGAGTACATGATCCCGGTGCGGGTCATCAATGGAATCTGCAGTCACGGTGAGCGATATTGCGTTCAGCCATTGCCAGTAACTACAGCAGCAACTTACCCTGGGACTACTGAGAGGGCTGGAGGAGAGACCGGTGGAAGCTCCGCTCACCGAGCGAGACCTGACAAAGGAACAAAAATTGCACGCGCTAACATTATCGTCACAGTCCACGGACAATCCCAAGCGAGTCCGCTTGAGTAGACGCACCTCTGGCTGTGTGCGGCATCCAGAGCCCGGCGAGGAGGCGTGGGAGAGCCCTGTTCCGTCACGCTCAGCACCTCCAGGCTCTTCCTCTCGGGACGGCAGCGACCGTGACGCGTCAGCATGGGTGAGTCCACGCGCTTCCGGGGAGGATCTGCACACCGGCGGTGGAAAATGTGGGGAGTTGAGCTACCGACCGTCTCCGATGTCGAGGTTTAAAAAAACGAAAGCTTCAACTGCAGTCTTCCTTGAGTGAAGAGCTAACACTGCCACCTAAGGACTGACCGGCATCATTGCGCTGAGGCAAGTCCTCGTCCTCGTAGCTGGGGTACCGCTCTTTCCTGTCCAACAGCAGGTAATAAATCATCTTTTCCTGGTTTTCCCTGAGCAAGGAGCACAGCGGATGCAGGGTTAAGGTAGGGAAAGGCAACAAAGAAAGGAGTACATTAGAAAGCCCAAAATCAAAGCCCAACCGTGAAGTGTGAATTATCATTATGATTTATTTATTTATTTAGTTAGTTTTTATCACGTGGCCCGGGAGCACTCAGAAGACACCAATGGCACCAACAGTTGTGCCATCACACTCTAACGTGTAACCTGAAATTCTTCAATCCTATCAAACACGAGTGCAACTTAAAGCATCCTAAAACATGACATAAGGTCTGATGGGACGTGAAGAAACATATTTGTCCTTTTTGGGGTGTGGGAATAAAAAACAAAAAATAATAATTTTAAATTTAAAAAAAGGCTTACTCTTCACATTGCAAATCTCGCGTGAGCTTGACGCGGTCTCTGAAACAGCCTAGTGAGTGCATGCTGTCCAACACATCCGGGTCCAGCTCAGTCAGGGATAAGATTCGCCTCACGCACACTCTTCTAGGAGGGGGCTGCTCAGGACAAGGCTCGTTGCGCCCACCCCTGCAAACGCACGCACACAAGGTATAGATAATAAATGTGACGAAATAAGATGTGGCGTCGTACTCCACAGACCAGTATACTCACAAATACCAGGCATGTTTCTGAATGGTCTCCAGCTGTAGGAGAGACAAGAAGTAAGGTCGGTTTACGGTCTTGGACAAGTGAAAACTGAGTTTTGTCGCTTATTCACGCGTGGAGTGCAGCGCTGATGGGCACCAGTGACAATACAGAGCCAATGTAGAAAACATGGATGTCGGCAAGAGAGCAATCGTGTACCGTGAGACGCTTTTCGGGGTTGACCTCAATCATGCCCTTCAGCAGGGACTGGCAGTCCGGGGGGATGAAGTGCGGCATGTGAAACACGCCACTCTTCACTTTTTCCAGGAGCTGGCGTAAATTGTCATGGTCGAACGGCAGGGCGCCCTGGCAAAGAAAGAGACGTATTAAAAAAAAAAAAAAGGTCAATAAGAAGGACAAAGAGTCATCATCCTCGTGTTTCTGAATGGTCTCCAGCTGTAGGAGAGACAAGAAGTAAGGTCGGTTTACGGTCTTGGACAAGTGAAAACTGAGTTTTGTCGCTTATTCACGCGTGGAGTGCAGCGCTGATGGGCACCAGTGACAATACAGAGCCAATGTAGAAAACATGGATGTCGGCAAGAGAGCAATCGTGTACCGTGAGACGCTTTTCGGGGTTGACCTCAATCATGCCCTTCAGCAGGGACTGGCAGTCCGGGGGGATGAAGTGCGGCATGTGAAACACGCCACTCTTCACTTTTTCCAGGAGCTGGCGTAAATTGTCATGGTCGAACGGCAGGGCGCCCTGGCAAAGAAAGAGACGTATTAAAAAAAAAAAAGGTCAATAAGAAGGACAAAGAGTCATCATCCTCGTCGGACGGATGTATTTACCACGAGCAGAGCAAAAAGAATGACCCCACAGCTCCACACGTCTGCTCTCCTTCCATCATACTTCTCCCCCTACCAAAAACAGAAGAATCCCAAAGGTCCCAGAAAATCAACACCGACTGTGAAAACAAACGTCACCTGGCTCATCGAACATCAACGTCAATGTCTGAGTGGTGACTTACCCGTATGACCTCAGGGCACGCATAATGCGGTGATCTGAAATAAGATAATTGTATGACATGCATTCGTATGACTGGCAGTTTTGAGGACTCTGCACTGAAACAATGTAACCTGTAATCACCTAATCTTTCAAAAGAAAAAAAATAACCATCTGATGTGTGTTTATGGGCAAATTGAAGAGGCAGGCACTCACCCGCAGCTGGTCTCTAACAGGCTGTCACCCACCTGGAGTGATGCCATACCAAAGTCAGCGATACGGATGTTGTTCTTCTCATCCAGCAGCAGGTTCTCCGGCTTCAAGTCCCTGTGGCTGCATCAATGCAGAAGGGATGTTCGTTGAGCGCATCCACAGGACGCCATCAGAGGGAATACGGCGTCAGTGGTCAACTGTACAAATGACTCGAACCCAAGAGTGCAAGAATGAGCACTTGGATGTCAGAACCAACCAGATGGAGTGACTGTGGCAGAAATCCAATGCGGAAATGATCTGCCTGAAGAACTTCCTGGCTTCTTTGGGAGTCAAACGGCCTTTCTTTACCAGGTAGTCGAAGAGCTCTCCTCCTGACACGTGCTCCAATACCAGGTATCTATCGATGGACAGAGATCTGACCTCACCAACTCCAATACACGAGGGGACCTTTGTCAACTAATGAGAGCCAACACAAGAGCACCACGCAAACGCTGCCTTGAAATGAAGTCAAATAGTCACGTCGCCAAGGTATCAGGAACGATTCACATTCTTGAATAAATCCTTGGGAGCATTATTAACTTGAACCTAGCGTCAAGGCAGAGCTTTTAAATCTCCTTGTGTCAGAGCTCATTCGGTTTGGCGGGTGTTCGGGTGCATCGAGCATACGTTGTACGTCCGTCTCACGGCACTCGTGCCAATGGCATCGGAACTCACAGGTACTTGTTGTTCTCGTATACATCGTGCAGCTTCAACACATGCGGATGCTCGATGAGTTTCAGGATGGCGATCTCCCTCTCGACCTGTTCAGAGTGAAACGAAAGAATGGCCATGAGTTGAAAATGAAGCGTATGACTGTGCAGCACCGTATACTGTTGATGTACCCGACTCATGGAGGCAAATCAAGTCATCAAAATATCAGAACCGGTTGTCAATAGTATACGCTGCACTGTGGTTTGTGCATCACTTTGGTTTTGTTATTCCGTGGAACCGCCAATGTCAAATACCCCCAAATTTTTGCCAGCCAATCGCTGGTCGCGTGTTGCCGAGCAACCTCTCCCGCTAACATTCACTCCCAAGGACAGTTTAGAATCTTCGTTGAACCGCACATGCACGTTTTAAGAAAGCGTTAACGGTGGACCGTGTACAAACTGCGCGCCGGAAAGTCTGAACTGGGATGTATATCACGGCAGTGCTCAGAAGTATGAGGCACTGTGCTGTCAGTTGGGCTGCCTTGTGCCCCATTATTTCCAATGGCGAAGAGAGTTTTGAAATGGACGAGAAAGACAGCATACCTTCATTAACACCGACTCAGACAGCTTCTCCCTATTGACGATTTTGATGGCAACCTTCTGACCGGTGATGCAGTGGACCCCAAGCTTGACCAGTCCTAAAAGAGGGGGCCAAGAGGAACAATTTTGTTCAGTTATTTTTACATCAAATTGCGACGTGAAGCTTCCGTTATCCTCTACTCACCCGTCTGTCCCTTTCCCAGTGTTTTTTCCAGCCGAAAGGGTCCGACATACTGAGCGGACTGACTCAAAGACAGTTCCTTACTCATACTGCTGTTACTTGAGGAACACTGGACTAAAAGTGCGGCGATTATTGCAATTACTGTACTATTCTACAGCTTATGCGGGTGTTATTGTGGCATACACAGCACTCACACTTGAAGACACACAACACACGGGGAGGGTAGTCAGTCAAAGCCTCCATTTAAACCTGACTAATTAGTGATTCCTTTTTGTTATTTTTGGGGAGAATTTACGAAACAGGTCATTCGTGCTGAAGAAAAGCAATAAACATGGCAAACTAATCAATTCAAGCGTATTTGCATAACATCTTGTCACATATTTGACGAGAGCGACATGACGGCTATTCAAAGACGAGTCTGAGGGAAAAGAAATACAGAGAAAGGTGCGGAGTGAATCTAAATGTTATTTCTCTCGCTGTCGGGCCTCAGGGGTGCAGCGACATGCTAAACGTAGCCTCGCCGCCGCTCTCCCACACAGCAGCGAGGCTAGCTTGTAGCTTTAGCTTCGGCGCCTTGACCCAGCGGCGGGTCCTGTCAAAATAAGCCGCGCCGCCTCGACTCGTCGGCCACCGAGAAACGCTTGGTACACTGCTCCGACGGGCGCCTCATTCTCTCGACAGGTGGATGGATGCTGCGCGTAGCCGGCGTCGGTCGAAGTCCTTCCCCCGCCTGTCCTGTCCTGTCCTCCCTTCGGCCAGCGCTCGGCTCTACATCCCTGCGAGGAGGCAGCCGATATCACAGCAGCATCTTCTCCGAAGCAGGTGCAAAAAAAAAAAAAAAAAAAGCGACACAGTCTATCCCCTGTTTAGCGCTACCTCCCCAGGGGTGCCTCCTTAGCTGTCGGTGATAGTTGGCGCAGGGTTAATAGGCCCCGTTGTATTACACTGCCTTCGCTTTTCTTGCCGTAAACCGATCTTTTTTCTTCTCCCTCTCTTGTTTCGCATCAGTCGCATCAGCATCCGGGTCCTTCTCCATCCTCGAGTCCAGCTCCGCCGCCCCGCCCTCCTCCCGTTCCTCTTCCTCCTCCTCCGGCATCCAGGCCAGAAACAGCCCCGACAAGCCGGTGGGAGATGACGATGCCGAGGGGGGGCACATCTGCTGAAGAGTGACAATGCAAAAATAATAAATTATTATTATTATTAGTACATACATCCAGTGCATACAGTGAACATAAAAGGGGGGAAATTCACACAAGCAATTTTCAGTGTCTTCAAAAGGGAAAATATTACTCTTTCAATGTAAAAACGCCAAGTTACACTGCTTTTTGCGTGTTTTGACACTCAACCAAGTCTGATCCGGACAGACTCAGTGAACAAAAAACAATAATAGAGGCTGGAGTTTAATTCAATTATTTGAGTTTATTATAAAAAATAGGCCCACACAAAGACTCCATTGCCAACATTCACAAAACACAGCCGGCATTGACAAGTTAATTGTGCAGACATGTCTCCTCTTCTCCGGTTTTTGAGATGATTCAGTCCATGCACTTCCGGCTGGAAACTGTTAGGGGAAAAAAAATGAAGAAAAAAAAACCAATAAACATCAAATGAAACAATTAAAATAACAACAATGAGAACTATTCACCTGTATGATGAAGATTGAGACTGACAATTTATTTGTGGGGAAAACATTATAGTTAGCTGCTTTGTGACAAAAAAAGGTTAATGCACTTTACTTTGGAGTCCAGCCCACCTATTTTTTTAAACTGTCATATTAAAGATACTGTACTATACCCACATGTCACGATCCTTCAGACAGGGTCTTTGCACAGGCATGAAAGGCGTCTACAAGGTCTTTGCACTCCGCTGCGTCCTTCTCTATGACACTGAAACACGAATCCAGACGACATATCAATCACATTTTAAATCATTTATGCGATGTGTTGCATGTCTCACTCTATAATAACGTACACCAAAAGCACCACAAACACTGCATAGGATCATCTCTAAAGTGAGGCGAAATCCGCACCAAGGATTATTCCAACCGTCCCACTGTACTTTGATGTGTGTTAAGTGATTACACGTGAGTTAACGGTACACCACTAATCACCTCAGCACGTGCAACAAATGTCTCTGGCCCCATATGTTCACGTACCGTAACACGAACCGGCAGCCTCGAATGCGCGGGCCAGGTCATACGCGTCAAAGGCTATTTTAAACCTTTTAATACCTCTCAAGACATTTTTGTTACATAACAGTCCGGTGTAAACAAGTGAGTGTGTGAATGGAAGGGACACTTAGGCTTCAGTCTTAATTTACCACTGGGAAAAACAAAAACAAAACAAAAGACAAAAAACAACTATCCACTCTCTGCGAGATGAGGTATACAGTGTATGTGTTAGCAGATGTTTGAAAATTCCCCCATTTAATTTCCCTCGCAGGATGAATCTTTGAGTGTATTTATTTGGCTACTCTTGAATATAACAACAACGTACTTTGGTTTGCGACGACGACCAAGGATGTGATGGAACTCTGAACATACTTACTCCCAACTCACAAAAGACTCATCAAATGTGGCAACAACGATGCATTTGTATGAACATTTCCAGCAGTAGTTATCAAAACTCACCACTTGCCAACGTTCGCTTTTATAAGCTGACACGGTGCCGGCGCAGCTTCGTCAGAGCTCGGCATGTTGACAGGACAGCTGCGCTGCGTCGAGAGCGTGCTCCTGCAGGAGGTTGCGGTCAAGTGCACATCTGCTATGCAAAGACACGAAGAAGGGAGCCGCCGCATGGACTGGGCGGGGAGAGGGAAGGCAGACCCTTCTGAAGCGTGACGGTGTCATGTACTGGCAGCTTAGTGATGGGGAAAATACAGTGCATCTAAAAAGTCTCAACCCCAGTGTTCAAATGCCAGGTTTTTGTGTGAGGAAAAAAATAAGACAGATCCAGCATCTCTATGAGAACAACTGAACTTTATCTGCGGTTCACCTGAGGCACTTGAAATGGCGGCAGGTGTGCGCCGACTCCCATTTAACAGGAGTTTAAATGTGATTGGTCGGTTCTGAACACAGCCACGTTTTCCAGTTAAAAAAGGGTGGGGAGACTTGTGCAAGCACATTACCTCAGTTTTTTACTTTTGCGGACCCTCTCAAAAAGATGTCTGCCATTTTTAGTTGTTTGCTTTTTTCAGTTGAGTTGTACAGGTTATAGCTTTGGAAAAAGTTTCAAATTATTTCCATTTATATTACTCTTTTTTTTAAATACAAAAACCTGACATTTGAACAGGGTGTGTAGACTTTATATTATAGCCACTGTAGTTCGACAAGGGTTGTTAAATACTTTAATTCTCCTTTCTTTTGGGAGTCTTCCTAATGAATATGCAGAGAACAGATCTTTTGAGGCAAATAGCACCCCCCGCAACCCTTGGGTGGATAAGCGGATCGGAAAATGGATGGATGGATGGATAGTTTTTTTTCAGGTTCCTAACATGAGTTGACAATCACACTCGGTTAGCCATTCAATTCTCGATCAACTGCAGTAGTGTGGATTATCAAAAATAGCTTGCAGGCTAATGTGGAGATCCCCATTTTGCTGTTCTAGACTGCAAATTTCCCCAGTGTGGGTCAGTGTGGGACAAATAAAGGTTATCTTATCTTATGTATATTTTTGCATTAAGATTGTGTTTTTTCCCAGGCGCCGTGTGACAAAAAAATACTATTAATTCAATGTAGTGCAGAAATATTGTACGTATAGCCTCATCGATGTCAACGTATTTTGGCAGTGGTGAGCAGTGTATTTGGTACATGGGCCTTCGGTGGAAACAATAAATGTTGATCAGTGCTTCTTACCACTTAAGGAGAGCAATAGTATGCGTTAATATAAATATGTAGTTGTCATCCACTGGCAGAAATGACAGCTCTTGTTTTGGGTCTCATAGGTCTTGCAGGTGTTCCTATTGTTTTGGCCCGTAAGTACAGCACCTGATCGTGCTCAAGTGTGCCGCCTACTGACGCATGGGTGAATTGCATGTAGTATCAGGAGAAATACAGTACAGTCGTCGGTAGTCCCCCGTGAGATGATGCTTCAGCATACTTTGCCATTTATGACGACTGTATGTATGAAATGGACCAATTGTTGGATACATTCGACTTCTTGTGTTAAGAACTATTTACTCTGCGCAATGGCACAGATTTGTCCGGGTCCAAATATTTAGCGCAACACCTCATATCATCGAGTTTCCGTGTGTTGTCCTTTTTTGTCTCTTTCGCATCATTAGCCTAACAATGAGCTGAAAATGTGGAAAAGCATGCCGAGCTGGTTAGCAGACGAGTTGGCGAACGGAGGGGAGGCCAGCTAGAACGGGGAGCGGAGTGTTACAGCTAGGAGAGACGACGAAAGGAAAGGGGAGGACGAAGAGAGAGCCGCCTTCAAAAATGGCGTCTCCGGATGAAAATTAGTAAAGATGTATTTTTTAAAAAACACGGCCTGCTTTTTTGTTAATCTTCCTCGCTCGCTTTGTACTTTATAACCACGTCCTCTATATGTGGGCGCTTTTTAATTTAATACCAGAAGGCGTAAACGTACGCAGTTGGCATGTACTGAGGGCGAAATAACACCCCTTTTATTCTTATGCGGCTAGCTGTTAGCATCCTGACAGAGGAGGAGGAGGGGTGCTTCATGGCGGTGGACATTTGCATGAAAAGGACAAACATTCAAATTAGGTACTTCTCCGCTTGTGGTGTGCGCGTGTGTATAGTGAGAACGCTCGCTACCAACGTGGATGTCTCGCCTGTCCTTTGCCATATTTTTATATGGCGCTAGGCTGCGTAGCCTAAAAAACTAGCCCAAAGAAAGGGGAGGAGGCGCCACAGAGAGAGAGAGAGACAGAGAGAGAGACAGAGAGCGAGAGAGAGAGAGGGGAAAAAGAGGGGACGCGTTGGAAATCAAATGTTCATCAGCGTTTCGCCCATTGGCGGCCAAATCCGCGACATCTTCATCATGAGCCGGACTGAATTCGGACTATCTTCGTGGAAATGATAAACGTGGAAAGAGGAAAATGAGGAAGAGTGTCTTTTATCGAGCTGGTTGGATTATAACCCCGTAGACCCCCCTCTTTTTTCATCCAGTTTTTTCCTCCTCCCCTCCATTTCTCTTTCAATATGCTGTTTTCCACTCCGGAGGACTGGCTTATGAAACCGGGGAAAATTGCCTGAAACGGAGCTCGGGAAAGACTGGATTTTTTTCCTCCCCCGCCTTGCGACGTCGCTTTCGCCCGCGCCCCCCTCCACATAGATGGATAGAAATTACCCGGGAACAGGGTTCGGCGATTTGGGCGCTGGAGCAGGATGGAGTTACGAGAGATCGGCCAAAGCAAGGTAATCGGCACAAGCCAGACAATGTGCATGCACGCATGCATGCATCAGTGCTTACATTGACCCGTGTAAACACATTGTCGCCATTGGCTTCGCGCTCCACACACGCACTCGCTACGCCGATGCATTGTCATCCCAAAGAGTTGCATAGTAATAACATTATCAACAGCAATGGAGCGGTGTGCGTGTCGTTGCTAGACGTGGATGTTGGAGATGGTGGATGGGAAGTGGTGGTGGCGTCTCCACAGGCTTTTCACTTTGCAGGCTTGGGCATGCTCTGATAAATAAATAAATGGGTTCGAATGGTGCTAAAAAGCTCCACAGCAGCCCCCTCCTGACAGACATCAACTAGAATTGGAGGTGCATTGGTGGAGCCATCGTTAAAAGGGGGGTGGGGTGGGGGATTAGTTCGATTGCAATGAAAATGTTCCAAATTTTTGCAGCATTTGGCCCCAGACACGATTGGAGATGATTTGCGGTGGGCTTCTTGCAGACTCATTTGCATAATGAAATCCTACCATTCGAACCACATTCAGTTGTTTCAGTAAAAATAGCAAAGGCAAGGAGACATCATGATTTGATGCTAAGAATGATAAGTTTGATGCTGACGTGGTTATAATGTGAAAAATGCCGGAATCATTCACGAGACCTGTTACCTTTTGCGTTAGCACGCGAGCTAGCTTTGCAAGGAAGTCAATTGCGGCCTGCTAGCATCACTTACCTAGCCGCTTCTAGCACATTTTCCCACCCCGCTACTCGAACACTAAACGTTTTGGTGTCTCGTTTTAGACGCGATGCCATGTCCAAATGATGGCATCGGTGCTGATATTTGTCATTCTCGATACGTCGATCAGTAGCGCCCGGTTGTGAGCCTCATCGACGTAATCATTGAACAGCTCGTCCCTTCAATTGTACGAGGTAGTTGTGATGTACAGTACTGCACAAATTTGGTTTCTTTTCACCCCAAAATGTTGACCTTGCACACACATAAGGCCGCGTGTGTGCTCTGCGCTCATCGCTGCTGTGCAGAGCTCCCCGCAAGCCGGCACAAATTGCTAACATGTTCACAAACGGCCAGCAAGCCAACCATTGCATGTTCACCTCAGGCATGTCATATTAGTCACGTGTGCATTTTTGTTGCAGTACTCCAGCATCATCACGATTCATTTTTCTATAAAAACATGACATGTCTCATGTAAATCCCATGCTTGAGTTTCATTTTGATGTTGACATCGAATGACTGTCCTAGTTGCAACGAAATCAAGTGTCTTCATGACTTTCATCATGGGAAGATTTGAGTTTCTAACTCACTTAAATGGGATGGGATTCTGGAAAGCGGCTGTCACCTTTTTTAGGTTCCAGCTGATGTTTATGCAAATGTGCTCAGAAATTAATGACACTTCATCGTTCCTCCTCCTCCTCCTAGTCTTGTCTATGGGAGTTCCAGATCATCCCACCCTGAGTCTGAGCTCCTCCACCGCCAAGCCTACGCCACCCCACACCCTCTGCAGGGCTATGCCACCAATCACCACCCAGGGAGCTCCGGCCAAGGCGGGGCTTGGGGAGCAGCTGGACGGAGTTTGGGTGAGATAAATGTCATACCTCCCGTGTCCCCAACGTTAGGGGCCGCAGGAATGAATTATGGCCATGTAAGTCCTAGTCTAGACGTGTGCGTGAACAATGCTCACAACCTGAATAAATTCAGTTGGGATTTAAAAAAAAAAAAAAAAATCAAATAGCGATACACTTCTTCACTTGAAGATCACGGGAGTATTATCTCTGCAATTTTTGTCATTTCCCGTAAACGCAATTAAAGCCCGAGCGCTGAGTTTGTCCTCTGAGGGGAAAGTTATGCTGCAAATGTGATTTTCTGTTGTATTACGTCACTTTGTCGGATGAGCTACAAATCAAAGAGCGCAAATAAGTCACTGTAGCTGAATTAGTTTGCAGGCTACAAGTGGGGGGTGAAATCCATTACTGAAGCACTGGCATGACAAGTGCTGATAGTTAAAAATATTCAACGCAAGATGGATGAAGTCCGAGGACTATATTTACCGCCCGCTACCTTGCAATATCACTTTGTTGTTTAAGTAGGCAGAATTTCAACACACAGTACTGTAGAGTAACCTTAGCCAAGTATTGACAACATATCATATCTTGGGCTTTTGTTGTTATGCTCCCTCTTTGCCCTCGCAAAGTTGTCAAGCGGAGGCACCAATAATTATCATGTGTTGATACATGATCAAAATATGCAAGTGCCTTTGGCAGCATTTTTCATGGCTGTGTATTTCTTTCTAAAAGGTCTGTCGGGGCTGTTTGACACTGGCCTGCACCACGCCAGCCCCTCGGCCCCCGACGCCTCAGTCATGAATCTGATTTCGGCATTGGAGTCTCGGGGTCCTCAGGCCCCCCCCTCGGCCTCTTCCTTACTCTCCCAGTTCCGCACACCATCTTGGCAGACAGGTAGGACTGTGTTTGCTCTTCCTTTATGTGTTGACATTCAAACGTGGCCTGCTGTCAATATGACGTTGAAATAACCTCCGGTCGGTTCTATTATCATTCTGCTTGCATTGTGTTGGATGTCGTTGTTGTTGTTTTTTTTTTTGTTTTTTTTGTTTTTTTTTTAATGTGGAGAACAAAGCAAAGGTCGATAGGTCAGGATTCTGATTTGCATTAAGTGGACGACTCAAGTCATTTCCCATTCTTTTTTTGTCCCCCTGCTGAACAGCGATGCACACACCTGCTCCTCCGGAATTATTCATTTCTGGAGCTCTTCCTGGCTCGGGCTCCTTCCCCTCCTCCTCCGCTCTCTCAGCCTATCAGCACCCAGCTTCCTTTTCCAGCCGCTCCTTTCCCGGTGCCTCACTTTCGCTCCAGGACACGCCCACGTTCAGCCCCACATCCAACGGTCTGCTGTCCCCACACGACCCCTTACTACACATCAAAGCTCCCTCCCAGTCCAGCCTGGGTTTCGACAGACTCCTGTCGTCGCAAGGGGCTGCAGCAGCCGCCTATCGGGGCAGCCAAGA